CCTCCTATATACTGTGGCTACACTAGCTGTCTGAGTCAAGTAGATAGAAAGTTCAAAGGGTTGGCTATGCACAGTGAATATATACTGTCTTGTTTGTTACTGCAGGTACAGCAAGAGGTTACTTGTTATATATCACAATCTCATCAATTGCGACAGTGTTTGTGCTTATGCTCAGCATCGTAGTCTTGGGATGTATTATACGAAGGTTAGTTCCTATATACTCTATATGATGATAATGTAGATTTATCAAAGGAAGAAAAAATAATTCCCAAGATGGCTCATATCCACTTGAAAACATTAACGAAACTGACAGCAATCAAGTTACTACCACTATCCATTGGAACACGGTTGGCTCATAACTGTTACCAATACATTATATAATTGAGATAATGGTATATAGCTTTTTGGTGGCATTTCAACACAGGTTTTTTTGCTAAGACTCCATGTGGAAATATCCGTGTTATTGGCCAGCGAAGCAATGGTCATGCCCAACAGACCGCTGGTTTTTCGTATCCCCTCTCTCGCGATGCCATACATACAGTAATGTTCTATGTGACATGACAGCCACCAAGCACGAATATTGACTGCCTCGCACCGCTCGCAAACAATGCATTGGTCTAGAGTAACCTGTAGTGTCCTGGCCGCTGTTGCATTCAGTGTCTGTTGGGGACGCATGCATCAGTAGCTATAATCAACGGAAAAGAGAAAATTATTGTTTTGGTTCACAGGGCCACTGCCAAAGACAGTGGTAGACTTCTGGAGGATGGTGTGGCAGGAGAGGTCTCAGAGCATTGTGATGCTGGCCAATCTGGTGGAGGCCAGTTCTGTCAAGTGTCACAAGTACTGGCCAGAGACTGGGACCCTGTCCTTTGGTCCCTTCAATGTCACCATCACAGGACAACAGATACTGGCTGACTACACCACTCGGGAGTTTAGTGTCCAGGTAATGCACACGCTGGTGTGTAGAAGCATCTTTATATCGAGTCTCTCCTCAGCTGGCAGAGAGTTCAGAACCAGCTCTGAGTGTGACTCAGTTCCACTTCACAGCCTGGCCTGACCATGGAGTGCCTGACTATGCCACTTCACTTCTGGCCTTCCACAAGAAAGTGAAGAAACATCACAAGAGAGGAATGGGACCAATGATTGTTCACTGCAGGTATACACTAAGCATAGAAACTGAATGCTCTTTATCAAACTTTACACAGTGCTGGTGTGGGTAGGACAGGGACTCTGATAACTATTGACTGTGTTCTTGAGCAGCTGCAAGGGGAGGAGAAGGTGGTGGATATAGCTGGTTTCATCATCCACCTCCGCACACAGAGAATGAAAATGGTCCAGAGCTTGGTGAGTACTTGCTACCTCGCAGAACAATGTGCATTCTCAATTCCTGTCTTGCAGGAACAGTACATGTTTATCCACGATGCTATACTTGAGGCTGTAACATGTGGTGACACTCAAATTGATGCCAGTCTATTCAGCAGAAGAATTACAGAAATGAGTCATCGTTACCCACAGACTCAACTTACTGAATATGAAAACCAGTTTCGGGTAGCTATAATAGTGTTTTCCTATAATAGTTGGTGCAATTGTGATTGTTGTATAATAGGTACTTGAAAAAGTGTCTCCTAAGCCATGGGAGATACCTAGGAACAAGGCTCTACAACATCCGTTCAAGAATCGCAATGACTACTACCTCCCCAGTGAGTATAATATAAGGGCATTATGTTGTGCTGATCATGTTACATATCTTGTTATATCAGCTATCTTTTAACAGTGTGCAACAGTTGTTTTTGCGCCATTGCAGGTGACGACTGGGGAGTTGTTTTAAGAGGTGATAAGCAAGACTACATCCATGCAACGTTTGTTAATGTACAAAAGTAGCATAATGGTTTGGTTTCTGTAGTGGCATGGTTTACTTTTGCTTTTACAGGGTTACAAGCAAAAGAGAGCATTCATCATAGCTCAGAGTCCCATGGAGTCAACAGCCAGAGATTTCTGGAAGATGGTCCATGACAGGAAGTGTGGAGTCATTGTTATGCTCTGTGACTTGTTGGAAGATGGACAGGTATAATCTGTAAAGTGTATTATTCTGACGTAACATGTTCCATGCTATAATAAATGCAGGAGACATGTTATCAATACTGGCCTGTGCGCCGAGGAATGGCTCAGTTCCGAGAATATACTGTTGACCTCATGGAAGAAAAGCCTGTTAAAGGTTTCGTAATGCGCACACTTGTTGTCGTCAATGAGAAGGTAACTCTACCCAACATCGCTATTCTCTAATTACTTTTCCTTGTGTGCAACAGGCTGGCAGTGCCCACCAGGTGGTTCAGTTGCACATGACTAACTGGAGTCCTGATGGCAGCTGCTCTCACCTGGCCACTATCACCAGTGTGATAAATGAGATGTCTGCCATCAGAGGAGAACTGGGAACAATCCTATCATAGTCCATTGCAGGTGTGTGGGGTATTGTGTGCCCTTGTGTACCCATGTGTATAGACTTGTTCTCAGACTCTGGAATGATGTAAGGTCTGGTAACCTTTGGAGAATGGCAGAAATGTGCCAAAGTATTTCCCACTGGAATCTTGTGGCCAGACCACTATCTCCTTTCCCACTGGCTCATGCATTGAGCATCTGGCTCTGCAGTGGAGATATTCTGGCTCTGCTGTGCTTTACTGCCCCACTTTTGTCAGGATGGGGCACAAACAATGCTAATGAGGTTTCTCTTTTCCCACAGTGACACAGTGGGCAGGTCTGGGATGTTCTGTGCCATAGTCACCACCATTGAGAGGTGTAAGACAGAGGGAGTGGTGGATGTGTTCCAGGTGGTCAAGGCTCTCAGGGTATACAAACCTGGAGCTGTCCTCACTGTGGTTAGGGGAACTTATATCGCATAATAATATTGTTATGGCTAGGATTTCTAGGCTTGTACAATGTTTAGTCTGTTATACTAGACAGGTAAGATTGACCGCTAATGGTAGTTAGTTTGAGTGATCGTCCAATAACCTTTTCTCTGTGCTATGGGCGTTCTTTAATCATTATTTAAATAGTTATTTAAAATAGTTAGTACTTGATAATGCATGATGAGGGTGAAAGGCTATTTTAGCCTGGTATCTTCCCGGACCAGAAGAATAAAATACATAACTGTGGTTTCTGACAGTAGTACACACTACACATTAGTGGAGCATACTTGTCACACTAAACCAGCCATTAGCAAGCTAATGCAGTCATGGTTCTCAGCATCACGGAGGCACTTCTCCTAGTCCGTCTTCACAATCAACCTTGTCATACCACGCCCACAGACCGAGTTACCATCTAAAACCTCTTGTGTTATGCCATGACATTCGAGTTTATCTTCAAGAAAGACACATTCTTATATAGGTGGCGAGGAGTGAGGTTATGTTAAATTCTCACACAGAACTTGCTATTTAGCCCTCATCTCTCAAAAGAAAATCCTCTTTTACTTGTAGCTATAATTATATGCAAAGACAAGATGAGAGGTCCCTGTTATGATATTTTTCAATTGAACAAAGCCTATAATAAATAGCACCCCCTAACATACTTATCACATTGAGAGTAAGACTAAACGGTTAATGTTACTGCGTGGGAATGAAGGTTGGCCAGTTTAAATAGACTCTTGTCACCAAATTCTGTGGGACTCTTTGATGACTGTTGACACGAAGTGTTTTTCTGATATCTTACTGAAGAGTCTGCAGAATGACTCATCCATCCAGCACTCCTCGGCTCCCAACCTGCACTGGTATCACTGAGCATTTGAAACAGTTCCTTCGTTCTGGTTTCAGACAATATCTTTTCATTACAACCTCCCCTCCTGGCTGCAGCATCAGACTCTAAATACCCAGTAATCTCCATGTTGTATATACAGTTGTCAGACCAGACTGCCAACTCTTGGACTCTAAGTGTTCCCTTCTTGGCATTGCATCATCAACAGCCACTACCACTGTTGTCCTCTTTGCCAACATCTGGCGAGGCATCGCCAGGTCACTTCTCATCACAATAATGCAGAAGGAGAATTGCCCGAACAGAGATCTCGTGTGTGATGTAATCGGTCTATGACTGTTACATTAGGTCCGCATTATTAATTCATAATAATAAACATGCACAGAAATATGGTTACTAATGTTAAATGTTAAACACAATGTGTACTGTTGTCCACGTTCTAAAAAGGGATCAGTTCATACTCAGCCTCCTGAGGCTGAGGAGCAGTTGGTGGTGGCTCAGTGGTGGTTGCTGGTCCTGGACCAAGTGTCACACCATAGGCTGGGTTCTCCTCAGCAATCACTTCATTAGTACTACTACACAGACTGAGAGTAAGGTTTATACACACACAATTTTCTACCTTTTTCTCCTGGTAGCGGTAATGAAACCAAATAAGAATCCAAGTAAGAATCCTATAAGCACCCCAAACACAGACAAAGCAGTTCCAACGGCAAGGTAGATTCTTGATTCTCGGCAGCCATCCCTAGATGGTGCACGTGCCTCATCAATAACTATCAGGGAGTCAATCATACATGTGTATTATAACTGTGGAGAAGGCTCATTATAAGGAACATGCTTAGTATGAAACTATGAATACTACCATCAGACCCTTGAGGTCCTGGCTGAGCTACTGTAGAACACACTACATTTTTGTGCCGCTTTCTACGAACATGGCTACTACAAAACTCCGCCTTAGGCAAACAAAGAATTTAGAGCTCCACCCAGTAATGTCCTGTGTAGAAATAGGTTTTATAGCACGCTAGCACAGTTTCAAGTCTCGTTTCACTGGAAGTCCCTCCACAGACACAAGGCAGGGTAATGCATTCGTCGATGTATAATACTGACAAAGTGTGGACAAAGCCTGAGTCTCGCAGGCTGGACTCCCCTCACGGCATCAGACTAAACCAGCAGCTACACAGGCAAAGATGGACCGTACCGTGTCTGTTCTTCAATCTTATGGCACTACATGCCATATTTATAATATGGCAAATGCTAACAACTTAGTTGATCCTGGAAAAAACATTTTTCTAGGTATAAACAAATATGGGATGAACAAACAAGTGTGATCTGTGAACTGCTATCAGATGTGCAGACTGTGACAGCAAGAGTGGTTAGCAATATATAGACAGCTTTGACCAAGTGGGCTTACCATAACTAGGTATCAACATTCTGATCAAGTACAGTTTTGACATGTTTATGGATGTGATAAGGTGTTAATCCTACCTCATTATAGCTGCTAAATAAAGTTTTGATGTGCTCACCAGTTGGCGAAGAGACGACTGTGATAGAAAGTGAAAGTGTGGCATGAATAAAAGTGGATATGAAACCCTGTGTGATGTCACTAGTACTCCCATGTAGTCCTTAGGAATAAAGAGGAGTATTAGAGAGTCGGTAGACTCTCTATATAGGGATGACGCGGGTGAAATCTCACGTGATCCGCGTACAAAATGTCGGTGAGAATCACTCCCTAGGCCTTCAAAACATACTAGCAATAGTCTGATTTTTTCACTGAACGTCTCCAATTTCGCCGGAGGTGTGCACGGACATCTAGCGATCGTTTCTTTCTTGCCGCTAGTCACTACGGTAGATCATTGAGCTCTTTCATGGTCGACACTGAACAACGCCATTTGCCGCTAACTCAGCATCAGCGAGCCGCGCGCATGCGCCAGGCAGGGGCGTCGTCCAATGCGCTTGGGAGCGTATTACCAAGCGAGTTGGCAGACCTGCAGAGGAACTCTCAGCCTCCAGTACCTTCTGTAAGTAAGTGTGCACATTTCCAACTGTCTAGCTTGCTGTTGATTTGCACGAAGAGCAACTTGGCAGAGTCTGCGCGGTGTTACGCGAGCCTTGCTGGGCGCTCAGTCAAATGGGCCTTCATTGTTTGTCCCCCCCCCCCAGGTTGTAGCCTGATTACTAAAGCCTGCCCATGAAACCACAGACATGTGCAATAATCTAATTACATCCTTTTTGAAGACAATACATGAGGTGAATGCGGTAGCTATCTAGCCCCTGCTTCAGGCACATTAGACTACTACTTTCAGCACTTACTATTTGTCTATGGTAGCCTATATATCTACAACATACCCATGAACATCAGAGTGACTGTAACAATAAATGCAGTGTTGTCATAAGCTGTTAAAAATAGTGGAAACAAGTGGAAAAATCATTTCTTCAAAATGAAAGGGGGATATAGGGATGGCTTGAAGCACCAAAAAGGAAGAAACAAGGGATCATTACACAGCAAAGTTGCACAAAGCTACATGACACCATCCCTATATCTTTGTTTTATTGTTTATAAGCAAAGTTTAATTAATATCGAACAAAGATATAGGGATGGTGTCATGTAGCTTTGGATGGAGGATAAATAGACGACTATCATATACATTTTGCTGCATCACAAATTAAATGTATGGCAATGTCAGGTAATTGGCATGCACCCGGAGGAGGTTTGACAGGGTAAAAAGGTTGACTAATCAGGATCATGTGGGCCATAAAACCTGTATGTCACCAGTGTACCCCTCGACTTTGGTCTTACTCAATATTAATATTATTACTAATACGATATTTCAATTATGACGCAACCTTGCGTAAACAGTTTTGACTAGTGCACTTCCGGCGGCAAGGTGAACGCGAACAGACTTTAGGAATAAGATATCATGCCCATATGCAGATATCCTACCAGATAAAGGTGATGGGGCAGTTCTGGTAGCAGCTATATACAATGAAGTGGCCAACATAGTCGTGTCAATGTCGATAATGTAGCAAAAGCATTTAGTCTAAAAGCCTATTCAAGCAGCAATGTGATATATTAAGCTCCATAATTAGGAATGTGATACTTATGAACCTGGAGAACTAATGAACAGATTTTTGGCAAAAGAGTGAAGTAATTATGAAGTCCATGAACCTAGGTATTGCCTACACAAAGAGGCATTCCTCAAGCATCTGACAAAGACTGACTACTGGAGTAGAACAGGTCCAGGCCAACGTTCAGGTTCCTAGGAGAAGAGGCTCATTTTGTGATTGATAAGTGGACCTAAAATAAAATTAATGGCTGTATTTGTTGTAGTCACTGTACCTGTGAAATGGCACACATGTAGCTATTTAGCTGGCAAAGAGAGCCTACCTAGTCATCTGAATGCGAGATGCGTAACATGTTATAGTTATACACATAATTCAGTATACCATTGAGTAGAGGTGTGGATGGTAGATCAGCAGTAGTCGCCAATCTAGTAGATGAGGTGGATGGACCTTGCAAGTGACTGGGTGTACCTGTTATAGAGATGAATAGTTCATGTTGAACTGTAATTAACCCTCGGCGCGCATGCGCAGCGAGGGTTACAGTAGTCGTTCTGTCTGTCTGTCCGTCTGTCCGCGCGAGTTCTAGCACGAGGCGGCCAATGAGTGGCACCAACTGGTTGTGAACGACGAGAAGATTGATATTAACGTGGCGATTTCCCCGAAACGACTGCGTTCCAGAGATATGGCGTGAAAACAAGCGAAAAAGCCAACGCGCGTCGATCGCGCACGCGCCCTCTCCTGCAGGCTAGCTATTAGCTATATAGCGCGCACGCGTCATGTCAATTAATCGCCGGAGCATGCGCTACGCCACGTTGGTTGTATATACGATCCACTCAGTTTTGATCTCTGTTCCCTATGGATAAACGATAAACATGATGAGCAAGGTATGTTCGCAATGTAGCATAATAGTTCAGGTGGCGAGCAGTTTGTGGTTGCGGCCTTGCCTTCCCATCTATACAACGTCTGGCGAGAGCATTGAAACACAGAAGAGCAGATAGATTGAATAAAGCAAATATGAGAGCCTCTGAAACACCTGAGCTATTGCTCTAACCGCTAATGCAACTACCCTGTGTTACGGTGGGACTCGTGTTACTGGCTCCGTCGATGACACACGGCCCAGCATACAGCGATGCTACAACTCGCTAGTTTACCGCCGAGGGTTTGCACTTTAGTGCTTTTCATTTCTTAAGCACTGTTTGGTTGCTGAGGAATTTACTACTCATGCACTGTAGACACATACGCAAATAGACACATTCAGGTGGACAGAGACTGACTACTGGAGTAGAACAGGTCCAGGCCAACATTCAGATTCCTAAGAGAAGAGGCTCATTTTTAAGTGGACCTCAATTAAAAATTAATGGGTATACTTAAGCTTTTTGTTGGGTGATGGTACTAGTGGAGTTGTGATGGTTGGGTTAACAGGAGTAGTAGGCTAGCTAGTGAGACAGAGTGACAGAGGTCATAATGCCACTTGCAATACAAGATAGGTAAATGCCAAACATGAAGTGTCAAATGTGTAAATGCAACATGAGGACAAAAATGTTTCCTCCTACCAGATGAAAGTAATGAAGGTGCAGCTGAAGTACGTGATCGGACAGTAGAAGACACCATGGTAGTGACTGTACCTGTGAAATGGCACACATGTAAGAGTGATAATATTTGTTTGCATGTTTGTGGGAATTTCTCTGTGTGTTCTGGAATTGTATATAGTAAAAAATGTTGGTTCTTACAACATAAAAAGAAGAAAAAACCTGGGTTTATTACCAGATGGAAGTGATTCAGTTGGCAAGGGGGAAACTGTGGTAGTATCAGGTACTGTTTTATACACTGAAGTGGTCACTGTACTCGTGAAACCTGGCATGAAATAGCGGTACTAGTAATAAGGTATCATGCCCATATGCATATATCTTACCACGTGAAGGTGATTCAGTTTGTGAGGGGGTAGTTCTGGTAGTATCAGGTACTGCTGAATAGATTGACGAAGACATGGTGCTGACTATCGTAGTCGTGAAACCTGGCACGAGACAAAAGGTAGCAGTATTATAATTATCATGTTCAGTGAATGTATCCTACCAGGTGAAGGTGACTCAGTTGGTGAGGGGGTGGTTCTGGTAGTATAAATTCCTGAGGAACACACCGTGGTGGTCACCTTAGCTGTGGAACCTAGCATTAGATCAGTATAGTCAGATAATTTCAGGAAGGGTAATCAATCGTAATCAGGGAGGAATGTTGGTTATCACAACATTTTACAAGAAATAAACACTTGGATTTATTACCAGATGAAGGCGATTCAGTTGGGAAGGGGGAAACTGTGGTAGCATCAGTTGCTGTTTTATAGGACACAGTGAGGGCATAGTAACAGTTGCAAAACATTCTACTCTGACAGCAAACGGCTTCTAGACTTCAGCAGAGACCCACATAATATTCGCCATCATGACATAACCACAGCGTTAGCAGCACACACAAAAACGAAGGCGAAATAGTGACTCTTACTGGTATAACTTGCAGTTGTAGTAGATTGAATAGAAACAATCACTGCAGTTGACCCTGAAGGATAGTTGGTTTTCAGAATACATGACTACACACACACATTTTAACCCTTACCTTTGACAGCAGTACAGTTTGACTCTGAGGGGGCTGGGTCACATTCTACAACATTTACTCCATCAAAAAGATCTGTGTTTGTGAAATGGTAACAATAATATCTAGAGCCAAACAAAAACTTTACCAAACAGTGATATTGTGCAGTTATTAGACTCTCCAGAGAGGTGCTCGGAAGTAGCCTCCACTGAGAATTGATAGGATGTGTTCCTGTCAAGATTTGTTATGTTGGGACTAGTGGAGGATGCAGCTACTGTCTGATTAATGTTATCAACTCCATCACTGTAGTGTACTACATATCCAGTCACTGTGGCTCCTCCTGATGGCTGACTCCACTCCACTATCACTGACGTAGCTGATGTCTGTGTCAGTGTTAGATTGAATGGGTCAGAGGCCACTGTAGGGAGGAAAGTAATTATGTAGAGTCTGTATTTGTATTGCAAAACAATTTTTGCCAGAGGAACTTTTATGTGACCAAGTGTAATCATACATTGTTGGTAAAGCAAAAGTATCATCCACACATGTACAAAAACCATGTGATGCCAAGAGAAAAAAGATGGGAGCTCTGGACAGCTGTTTCGGGCTTGTTGGCCCTCATCAGCAGAGCATACCACAACTTCTCTCTCTGGCATCACGAGTTTATAAAGTCTGACATGAGCGCAGCACTTGTGGTTCAGAACTAATGAGATTCATCCCCACAAGGCTCCACTGGTATGTGCTGCTGACCATGCCCAGACATTCGTGGTTTGGACCCTAGGCCCCTCCCCACTCCTGTTGCATGCATTTCCGCAAATGTATTTGGGGTTTGTAGCACAAGCAAATATGGTCACCTCTCAGTTCCACAACATTTAGTTGATCACCAGCAGCTCCATTAGATGCATTACACTGGTATATATCTCCATCACATCCTCCAGATATTGTACTGGTAGTGGCAGTGTAGGTGTCATTTCCTATTCTCTCTGGAACCCCAACTGGTTCTACTACCAAAATATGGCCTTGTTCTTCACTGAATATTGTGGTCCAGAAAAAGCCATATTCACTGTCCATCCACCTGTAGAGGTACATCTCACTCTGAAAGTCCCTTCCCTTCCTGACATCACCTCAATAGCACCTGATACTGATGAAACTACAGAGAGGACACCATTAGGAAATTCTATCATGTTGTGGTAAGCCAAAAAATTATGAAAAGCACTTGAAAGTGCATAACCCTCGCCACTTTATTCTTTATTTCAGCAGCCAATGGCTACTTGCCACACTACCTCAGTCTTTTGCACATGCGTGTTCAATACTAGTTACTACTACAGCAACGTGAAAAGCACTTGACAGTACATAACCCTCACTCTTGATTTCTCTTGTCACTTGGTCAGCACCGATCAGAGGGAGGAGTTGCTACCAGTTGCGAAGTTTGGAATCTAACAATGGGCGTTGTCTGGCTTCTAGATGAAGATGGCTGTTGTGTTGGTCTTGTGCACGTGATTGGGGTATTGTGAGAAGTAACATGTTGTGTAGCTGGTCTTCCATGGCTGCCTGGTTGGAGCAGTGTTGCGATTACCGTTCTCATTCGAGGTAGGGAGGCTGGGGATTGAGCCTGCATATTTCCGATTATGGGTTGCTGCGAGATAGAGCGAAGTGATTGAGATACCGGTTGAGCGCTATTGCTGCTGATGTTGGTTGTCGTCGTGCTACTCTGGTTGCTGGAGGCGACAAGGGTAGGGGGTTCACCAGATGATAATGGAGGGTTATGTTCAACACTATCACTCGCTTGGTGTTCAATATCAATGGCAACCTGGGGGGAAAGAGATACAGGGGCCCTAGGGCTTGGTAGTGGTGTAGGGGAGAGCAGCTGGTTGTGGGGGAGGTTGAGGCTAGCCCGTGTCAGACTCTCCGTGAGCTACTAGCAGGAGACCACGAGTAAAGAGCCCAGCCCATCAAATTAGCAGTATCGCACATGCGCAGGTCGCCGAGGGTTTTGCCATTCATTTCTCATTTTTTCATGTTTTATCCCCAAACATTTTGAAGTATCCACTTGTTTCCACAATGTTTGTGAACAACTTTGCATATTTTACTTACTATGGTCACTCTGACTTGGACCTGGGTGTGTTTTAAAGGGGTTGACAATGAACTAACTCAAGCTGTTGACCACTGCCTGACAAAGATGCACATTAGAAGCTAGCATGATGAGTTAGGGAAGGCAGAGACACTGAAAAACCAGCATAGTTGGCTGCTGACAGGATGAAGGGGCAGTTACCCAGAGAGACAGAGACTGACCAGCTAGCGTTTCCAGGAGGTAACTAATTGGGTTATAGCGTCATTGTATGCAGTGACGATTTCATGGGGAGACCTTAGTAATAAGACTACAGCTACAAGGTGGGGCATAAACAATGGAATGTAACGCAGAGTGCAGTAGCATAGCTGTTGACACACACACTGACAGACAAACCAAGTACTGTAACCCTCGCTCAGTCAGGATTAATGATACAGTGCCCACCTTCCTACATGCCATGCTTGTAGATGACATATTATAACACAAATTGAAATTCAGACAAAGAAGAGGATAAGATGCATAATTATTTCTCTGCTTCCAGGTTTTAGGTAAAATACTCAAAGGCCTATTCAATTTTGTAAAAAAACCACCAAACACCAAAGGACAAAGAGCATTCTTGTTCACTCACTTGGAAAGTAGATACCAACAGAGACAGAGACATTTCTACCACGGTCAGGAACATAGAAGCATGTAAAAATTCCCTCTTTTGCTTGTTTATTATGAAATCTTTGCAGTGCTAAATTTGGCTTTTTTTTATCAGTATAAATCACAGCGATCCATCCTGAACGGTCACCCTCTCCAGTCGTGGCTCTTGGAATATTCGTTCCCTCGAACTGCCAATAAAGTTCATTCTCACCAACTCCAGTCACTGTAATGTTAGGTTGACACACAGGACCACTGACAACTGAATCCTCATTGGTATCACCAGTAAACTTGCTAATATCGGTGACACTTATGGGTCCACTGATATTTTTCGTATCTTCACCACACTTCATGAACAGTTTAACTTCTAGGAAAAAACAAACAAAACCAAAATTGGGGTCTGCTCTACAATTGCATCTACAAATTAAACAAGAATCCTGTGAATCTCCTTTTAAGAAATATAAACAGTGTATACAAAAATGACAATGCAATACCCTTGACTTATGTGCATGGCCTGGTTCTTTAGGCGGCACAAAAACTATCTATTCTGGATGAAGGTGAGATAGGGTTGCCTCAATACAGAATCAGATTAGTGATTAGTGACACAACATTTTAGCTAGGCACACCATGAACCTGCTTTTTCCATAGCTAAATTACAGGTAGCTTTGGCAGTAGCTAGCTAATAAAGTGCTAGACAGTGCTTACGGATTCGGTTTTCCCAGGAAGAGATGAAAATAAAACACCAGCATAGAGCGAAGAGGATAGATACACGATTATACATTTTGCTGTCACTTGCTGCGTACACGAATGTGTAGCAATGTCGGGTGAGGGCGTAATATTATAACGCACGTGTCAGTCCGTCAGCGTCTCTTTACGCAATTCTCGCGGAACGTCCGCGCGCTAAGCAGGACGCGCGCTTATGACCGCGAGCGCCTCGCGGAGCCACGCCTTGTTGCGCGCGGGCGATTCGATTCCTACGGTTTTCCCTGGAAGAGGTGAAAATAAAACACCAGCATAGAGCGAAGAGGATAGATACACGATTATACATTTTGCTGCCACTTGCTGCGTACACGAATGGCCGCGTCATCCGCACGCACCCAGAGGTCGACTAATCAATGTAATATGCGCCATAACTATGGAACGCCAAATGCGACATAAATAGAGGGCTCGTTTCGACTCCCGATTTTCAATTATTATAAGCTACATAATATTGATATTGTTGGCTCCTTGTGCCTCGGCTATGGGAACAATGTTAGAAATCTCTTGTTCGTATGCTGTTTCTCATAAACTGGAGTTCAATGTGTGCAAGACCCAACTGATTTGTTTCTATACCCACCTGTTCGTCCTATCACTCCCTCCATCTATTTTTATGACCCACTGTTATCTTATTCTTATCACGCTGTACATTTGGGCCACATTCTGACTAACAACCTAGATGACTCCATAGACATAATAATTTATTTAATAATATTAATTTCTTTTTCTGTACCTTCCATGCTGTGGGCCTAATTGTCAAAACATTTTTATTTCAATGCTATTGCTTATCACTCTATGGATGCTGTCTGTAGTCACTAATTGTTCCTCAATTAATCACATTGAGATAGAGATCTGGCACCTTCCTCATCAGTGTCACACTGAGATTGTTCATTGCGTATAGCACATGTTAGTATTATACACAGCAGCCGGGCCAGGCCATGCCATGGTCCAACAGTTGCCGACCTGAACCATCATTATCCTTCTAACACAGGCTGGCTGCATCAGTTGGTAGCGTTTAGACGAGTACAAGCTGCCTTGAGCGTTACACAAAACGGAAATCCGGAATCGGTAATCGAAAATCGGGAATCGCAACGAACGTTAGCATCGGTTCACGTAGCTACACACAGCCTCGCGTGTATATATTATGGATCGCATGCAGAGTGGCTCAAGCGCGCCCCTTAGTACGCATGCGCGCAGAAATATGCTCAGACACGCCCAGCCTCGCCTTAGATCAGCGGGAAGAAACCGTCATCGTAGCCATGGCTCGTAGCAGCGCAGCGTACGCACCTGTGCAGGGTGGAAAGTTAGTGCCAGAGGTGTAAATTGTGTTGGTTGGTTGTGTTGTTTTGTGTTGGTTGGTGTTGGTTGGCTAGAGGCAATAGGTTACCCTGCAGACTCTGCAGAATGCTCGATGTGGTCGATAGCGAGGTGTTTGTGGTGTGACGGCGCACGGGCTGCACAGCACAGTGCAGTTTCAGAGGAAAGATGCCTTGCCGAAGAGTTATTGTTTTGCTTTGTTTTATGCCTGCTTCAACCCGTTCTTCTCAGAACGACCATCTCCAACAACTGTATCTGCTCCCATAGAAGACAACTCAAGACTGGGCTCGTCCGGAGCGATTACAGAGATTTCTTCTCAGCCCAACATTTCCTATCCATATTTTATGGATAGCAGCACTTGCGGTGCTAGCCATCATCGCCCTAACCGACGTAAGGTAAATGGGGGTAACTTCGGACACGGGATAATACCCGGACACAACTCGCTATTCAGAAAAAGAGAATTTCACTTGATTACTAGCTACCTGCCAAAGCGCTAACAAATCTTCCTCGCGTTTTTTTCGCAGCGCATAATTTCGAGGCTGGTGCAACGCCCCATGTCCGGAGTTACCTCCGCGTCCGGAGTTACCCCCATTTCGCTTAAGTCCGTCTTCATCTGCTGCACAATTGGAGTTGAGGCAGCAACCAGCAGAGGAAGGTTTGTGATACATGTAGTCGGTGTTGCGGATAGTAAACCGTTACCTACCTTTAATTTAACTCAAAGATTCCCAACGATTGTGCGTGGGCGTATGTTTCAGATATTTTTTCAATGGCACAGCAAAAACGCTGGTGATTTATGGTGAATTTAGGTATAATTATTTCTCGGATTTTTCCTACCTTGTTTTCCAAATCATTAGCATATTCATATTCCTCCTCTATACATTCTCTATGGGAGAGAAAACTCGTGCGCGATTCACCCATGAGCGAACGGTCCGTCTCCATTATGCGCAGTGGCTTTCTTTGCCTGCTTCGGTACTAATTTTGCGCTATAGAAAAAAAGGGGCGTGACCGGGTGGCAAAGGTCAACGTGAAAACGTAATGCTCAAAACTTGGCCACGCCTATTTTTCGGGATGGCTCTAATACGCCTGCGCGTACCGTAGGAGGCAGAGAGATTGCGCATAATGGAGACGGACGGTTCGCTCCTGGGTGAGTCGCGGCTGGGTGAGTAGCTTTGCAACGGAGCATTTTCAGAGAAAACCGTTCGATTAAATATTACCCGTTTATTACGTCGTATCGTTTGTTGGACGAATAAACCATCGAGAAGTGAGTTGGAGCATGGACAGACAGACAGACAGACCCAACTACAGTAACCCTCGATGCGCATGCGCGCCGATGGTTAATGAATCAGCCACTGCATGCTACAGTAGTATGAGCCATTCCTGCATGTTACATATGGACTACAATATGAGCCATTCTTGCAGGAGCTGGATCCGCATGATTCTCTTCAAAACCTCACGCGGACTATGAAACTAGCCGAGGAGCGCCTCTGCGTAAAGCCGGTCATAAAGCCATCGCAGCTCGGCATGCTACATACACACTATAGTATGAGCCATTCTTGCATGCTACATATACACTATAGTATGAGCCATTCCTGCATGCTACATATGGACTACAATATGAGCCATTCATGCATACTACATACACACTATAGTATGAGCCATTCCTGCATGCGACTATACACTATAGTACCTGCATGCTGCTTATACAATACAATATGAGCCATTCCTGCATGCTACATCTAGCGGCGTAGTATGTCTTGTCTGCGAAGTAAGGTAAGGGCGGGTAATTCGGAATAACTCACGTTGCAGCGGCTATTTAAAAAAATATTTTGGTCAGGGCAGGCTGTCACTGTTATTACAGGTAGAGTTGGATGTTAGCTTATACATACCTGTGCTGCGCTCTATGTCCGTCGTGTCTCTTGCGTGAAGAGAGCTCAAACTTCCAGTTGACTACTGACTTCAAAGGTGAAAGGCGATCGGAAACTTCGATAGGCTGCTAGAAGTAGAGCAGGCTACGGCGATCTAAAACAGCTAAAGCAGACTACAATGAAGGCTAAAGACATCGAACATGCATGCTGCCCCACAGCCAGTTTCAGTGTAGCATACGTACCAAGAGGTCAAAGTTTTGCGACGCGCGCAGCTAGCTCTGGCGCGCGCACACCTATGCGAGTAACGGTATAGAAAACAGTAATCACGACGGCTATAATCCCTTGTTTATGTGCAAAATAGTGTATTTACCTGGATAAGTACGCTGCAAGCCATACAGGTTAGACGCATCGCTGCAGTAGCTCTACTATTCCGAATTACCGGCGCATGCGCATAACGGACGGGACCAAAATCGGTCCCGCGCGGACAAACGAAACGATGTAAAATTGTTCTGTTTTCGCCATGACAGAGAGTAAAGGTTAGTGTATCTCTGCGTTGGTTATAGTATTCCCTGCCCGAATCAAAGAAGACGTTTTTTCGAAGTCTTCGAATTACCCTCCCTTACCTTAGCCGGTAAAACTTAGATCTTGCTTGCACTGAGTAAAGACTGGAAGGCAGGAAGCAAGGTGTTGGCAGGCCGTTACCCGGATTACTGCTGGACTTGCGTCTCCTCCTGCACCCGGCCTTAGTAATAGTCACTCCCACGACGCCCTTACTCTCTCGCTCGCACGACGCGCTTACTGCCTTAAGGATGTCTACCGTCTTGGCAAGTTCTCTATAGGAAACCGTAAACCACGACCCCTATATACCAGTGGCAGATCCAGGTTTGAAGAAAGAGGGTTTCAGCCACACCTCGAAGTATGGGATTTTTGTTATGCTATGCACCATTTGTGCTCACTGAAGTAGCAGTTGCGCATGCACACGCAATAACTTACTGGCGTGCAAAGTCATGTAATATATAGCTAATCATGGAAATGTATACACAAAAAAAGATTTTACTGCACTCACATTGCGTGCAGGGATAGAAAGGGCGCCCTGCTCGCGCTCTCGGCTGCCCGAACCGCACAAAGTTTTGTGAAAAAGTGGGTTTCTACTGCAACCAAAGAAACCCCCATGGATCTGCCACTGCCATTCATTCGTGCAGCAGATGCCACTAGGGTCCTTTCAAAAAGAGATCTTCGCGAGGTTCCCCTATTGTCATCAAACCTGACATGTCCCCTAATGAGAGAAAATGTGAATCATTGAAGATGGTCTCTCTTGCAGTCAGGTGTCCCTCGTGATGACATCAAAATCCGTGATTCTCATTTACTCGTCAGAAACAAGCTCTATGGTCAAGTCTCGAGATGTGGTTCCGACCGTTGTCAAAAGTCATGCTCTGGTGTCAATGACAGTGCTGTTGAAAAATCTCTTCTCCCATTGTTCCTAGGTTGAAACGTCTGTGGCCCTGTAATGTAAATTGTTGCTCAGCTAGCTCTCAAGATCAATTGTCGACCCCGCCACCGTCTTCTCCTCAGTCCTCTTCTACCACTCCCGTCTCCAGGCAATGACTACACAACTGCATCAAACTTTTTAATCTGAATTCATGCAGTCTCGTTAGTAAACTGTCCAATATCCAATCGTTTGTCTACTCTTCTCTGTATGACATCATCTGCATCGCAGAGACTTGGTTTATGCTATGTCTATGATAATGAGATTCTTCGACCACCAATCATCCCAAATTCAACTCTGAGTTCCGCCATGTTATGAACTTCATACGTACTCAAAGACGAAAGTGTTCTGTGCATCCGACTCCGATCAACTTTTCCAATCTTCAATCTTGACTCTGCGATTTCATTACATCTGCTAAAACTCATTTTGAGCAAGCTCTGTGTTCGCAATTATCACCAAAAAATTTTAGCTACATAAAGAGCCTTTCTTCTGTCCCTTCTGTGCCACCCATTGTCTCTTTAGATGCTTTCACTGTTGTGAAAGTTTTCCCTCAACTCATTTTTCCACTCTTTGTAGTCCAACTTCAAACAACCCGGTGCTAGGAATATACGCTGTATTCTGAGCTGTGGGCTGCGGGTATCAGTATTGGACAGGAAGTCCTTATCACAACATCTAGCGCTAGGCGTAGTGCAAATTGTCTGGCTTCCAAAGTTTACACAACAGTCAATTAGTACATTAGTGCAGGATGGCACAGCAGAAATTCAGCATTGTGATTGGCTAGTTGGATTACAAATCAGTTACGTCAGGCGTCTCGGCGCGTACAGGAAATCCGTTAACTAATACGTATTCACCAGGAGTGACTTCCAGATTCCTCCTTTGGAGGAGATGCCAGTACCTGATCATACTTTATCTCATATTTCAATTTCTGAATTGGATGTTTTGGAGGCTCTGTCTTCTCTGGACACATCTAAAGCTATGGGTATTGATGGAATTGGTCCCAAGGTTCAGAAAAATTGTGCACTGGCACTTTACAAACCCCTTCATCACCTGTTCTTGCTAAGCCTCTCACAGCTAATCGCCTTATTGTTTTTATCGGTATTTAAATCTGGTGATAAGTCATCTGTCTGTAACTATCGACCGATTTCTTTCGTCTGCTCGGTTCCTAAAGTTCTGGAAAGACTGATCTACAAAAACTGATCTACAATAAAATCTTTCCTTTTGTTTCTCCCTCAATTTCTCCCTCGCAGTTTGTCCTAAGCTTTCAACAATTCAACAGTTACTGGTTTTGCTCACTACCCTTCTGTCGAGCTGATGTTGTTTACCTCGATATTAAGAAAGCTTTCGACAGTGTCTCGCATAACTAACTTCTAGTAAAGATGTGGTCTTTTGGAATCACTGGCAACCTGTGGAAATGGTTCCAAGCCTATCTCTCCTGTCGATCTCAACATGTTACACTCAATGGCTGTATTTCTGACCCCCTTCCAGTTATCTCAGGAATATATACCGCAAAGAAGTATTTGGGTCCTCTATTGTTCTTAATATTCGTCAATGATATTCCATCCTCTATCGGTTGCTCTCAAATATTCCTACTTGCTGATGATGCCAAGTGTCTAAAGGAAGTTTCCACTCCATCTGACTGTCTATTACTCCAAAATCACCTCCTTCGCCTGTCTCTATAATATGGAGCCAAAAGTGGAACCTCCAGTTCAATGCAAAGAAATGTGTAGTACTCAGAATTAGTCCCAAATTTCCTCGTGTCATCGTTGACTACACTATCAATAACACTGAAATCCAATGTCACCGTGACCTTGGGAGTTTAATGTCTAGCGACCTTAAATGGAATAACCATCTCAAGTTCATTGCCTCTTAAGTTCATTGCCTCTTGAGCATACAAAGTGCTAGGCCTCATTCGGCATTATTTTCCTCAGGTCTTGATACTAAGGCAGAACTTGTACATCCTCTTAGTTTGTGTCCTACGGTTCACATATTTGTAGGCCACATCTTATCAAGGATATTAATATTATGTTGAAACGAATCCAGCGACGTGCAACAAAGTATATTCTGAACGACTACAAGTCAGATTACAAGCATCGCTTACTGTCACTTCGACTTCTCCCTCTCGTTATGCAACTTGAGCTATATGACATTATGTTCTTCATCCGTTGCCTCAAGACCCCTGATCCCTCTAATACCTTTCCCCTGCGTCCTATGTACATTTCTCAGAAGTCAATACCCGGTCTTAACCCACTGAAGCTGATGCATTCCCTCTGTAAATCCAATGTTACACGACACTTGTATTTCAACAGACTTCCACGGCTCTGGAACTCTCTTCCCCTATCAAAACCTTTTTCATCCTATTCCTACCATGGAATCAAATCTTGAAGTATTTTGGTCACATTTGAATCTCAATTCCTGAGTACGAATCCATTTGTACAGTTCACTATATTATTTGCCATGTGCTGTGTGTGTTGCCTCATTCAATAGCAACCTAATACTCAGCTCCGTATACCACCTAGGTTTCATCAACTTTGTTGGTGTCTGTCAGGACATCTAACAAAGTCTGTATGCCTGTTCTTCCCCTCTTCTTCATGCATGTAAAGCTCAAATATAATAATAATACATAATAATAAATAGTGACTGGTATCCAGTCACTGATCTTGAATTTAAATATGTCATCAAAACCAGAGCAAGATAAGCAATGCCCTATGGACAGATGACTGAGATGATGCTACCGGTGTTCACTAGCAGTGCTGCAGAAGTGTCTGTCCGAATTTTGTCTAGTAAAGGTCCCTCCTGATGTAGAAGGTCAGAGATGCAATGTTCTGTCTGTCTACTCGAGTCCGTTAGCTACCTGCACACTCACTGGCCTTACATCTGTTGAATTTCACCCCCTTAACTGAAGAGATCGATGGTGAGACCATGCATTGTACTTCCAGTGCGATTTTTAGGTCGAGCGACTCATCATACACCTCTACTGTGTCTCATGACATGTCTCTCTAATCCAGATCTGAACAGTAGGGTGTCTTTTCTCCTATACAGCCTAAGTGTCCGAGCCATAATTAGACGGTATGTGGCACTCTTTGATACTGACTCTCCTGTTCATTGTACCATGCAGTGTGATCACTTCCTAGCCACCTGAACCTGCGGCGGATAGTAGATCCCACAAGTACGATGCTGTGTGATCATAATGGCTCTGAGACTCTAGTTTGCACAGATGTAATCTACAACGAGAGAGAGAGCGACCGACAGGCGAGGTGAGCGCGAGTAGTGCACAAAAACTATAGTGTATGATGTGAAACTTCAAGCTACAACAAAGGGAGAGTGTAAAGTGTACAGACGGAAGTGATAGCAGGAGTTGGTGTGTGGATAAAAATTAAGAATAGCGATAAGGCTGTAGAGAATTCGTGACGGGGTGAATGGGTGAGACTGAGACAGTGAACCTGATCTGGCGTGCTGGAGAGATCGCGCTGCTACGAGTGGAGGAAAGCGACGAGCCAGCGAGTTACAGCGATTTGCAGTTCGGTTGCGATAGGAGCAGATGAGTGTGGCATGCGCCCGAGTTTCGATCAGAGTGTAGAGGGCGAGGAGGTGTCTGTGGTGCGCTGCAGAGGAAGGATGCCATTTGCAGTTGGAGCAGAGAGAAACAAACATTGAAGTATGACTTACCAATGATAATCAACCCATACTTGCTTCGTGTAATTCCTACATTCATTTCATGTTGTGTCTGTTAGAAACCCTAGGTTCTCCAGCAGCCAAGAACGGTCAGGTTGTACGTAGTCTTCATTACTGATCTCAGGGAGAGGTTGAGAGCGAACAGTAGGACAGGTATCACATGCCATACTCATCACCTATAATATTGATAATAGATGTTAGTAACCCACTACATCACGTTAAGGTTTGTACCTTGGCTCTCAGTTATGGTGATGAGTGGCCGACTACTTAGCCCAGCATTGTTTGCTAGTTCGTGTTAAACACTTCTTCTGAGCTTTATAAGGGGTTATTAGTGCTATCTCAGTCAGCTTTACGTTGTACACCTCTGTCAGGACTTGCACTATTTGTACCTGAAGAATAAAGATACTCAAATGCCTGATGAATATGCAATGCGATTGTATCTTACTGCTTTCACTGCTTCATCAGGGTTTGATGTGGATAGTCCATCTAGTGACTCTTTTCCCACAAGGTCACAAAACATGATAGGCATGTTTGAAACCATTTGGCCAGATGCTTAGTTTCGTCTCATGGTTACTGCGCTGCTTCACTGATGCATCAGTTATAAGTTTACCCTCATAAAAGTGAATCGATGGAAACCTGCATATTTCTTCATGCTGGAATGGAACAAGAGTTGGCTTCTACAGACTCACAGAACAAGTTATGGAGATAGTAATAATACTGGTGATAAAATATTAAACTGGTTTAGCTGCAAGGTAGGAGAGGAATGACTGAGGCTGGTTTACAAAACGTCTCATGCTGTGTTGCACCACAAAGCGGTATATATGCAATGAGGCAAACAATACAATGACTGGAAGTTGAAAGCTAAAACTGTCTGGTACAAACTGTGCACCCCTTCCACCCATGTTGACCTTATGAACCATCAGAATTTCTATACAAGAAGCTTCTCTTTCTGACCTTACTACATTATTAAAATTGGTCAAACTTGCCCTAGGTACACTTTTAAAATAGCTTTTCTCTACCTTAAACCCCTTACCATGCGGTACTGGATTGTGAGAAGTTCCGTTTTCCTTGACTTTGCATATCTTTCAAACAATGATGTACTTAGCCCGTTTTCTCTGGCAGGCTTATACTCAATGACTGGCTGGAGTTGCTGATGGTCACCAAGTAAAATGACGTGTTCACATAATCTCATTGGTACAATAGTTTCTGGTTCATATGCCATTCCACTTTCATCAACAATACACTGCAGAACCCTTGTCTTTTTTTCTCTACTGGTTTGTGGACCCTGTCTAATAAGGCCTTGTCCAATTCTGCCACTGGCAGCTTCATTGCACGTGCACAGAACAATATCAAAGCGCGCATACATCACCATTGTCTCTAAATTTTCAGTAAGTTTTTTCCATTTGCTGTACATTACTGCACAGCAATATGACCCTGCTTGTACTCGTCCGAAAACATTTTCTCCATTTGTTGCAGTTCAATTGATTCTTCATGCTGAAGATGACGGATTTTCCAATGAAGAGCATATTGTTGGGCCCATTCAGGGCAGTGGTAACCTGATTCTGAGGCATCAAAAGCTTCATTATTGCAGTAAGGTCCTGGAAAATCTATACGCTCCACAGCTTTTCCATAAACTCTCAGTATATTTATTTCCTTCGAAAGGCAATCCAGTGTTCCTATCAAATGAAAACACTAAACACTTGAGCCATCAGTCTCTTAATAGCTACACATGAAAAAACAGCACTGTCAATTTTTTATTCCGAGAACCTTTGGTGCATATGCATGCTGGAGGGATGTAACTTACTCAAAACAACATCGACAGCTTTGTTGGTAGGAGCACTGTAAATTACACACTCATTAAAACCCCGATCCCTGTTGCTCATGCCAGAGCATAGGCGATATGTGCACCTGTCTCACTTTTTCCTGTGCCTGACAAGATCGAAGAGCAATGGTATGAATACACATACACTCATGTGTGTACAACCATAAAGCTTTCCAATGGCTTAGAATTGGATGCAAGAGGAAAGTTAAAGTTGCTGCTAATCTACATGTGCACTACGTATACACTTGGGATGACCCAGGTCTCTGTGTTTATTACTGCCTTCATGTCTTCACTCGTGGGTTATGGAGATTGAGAACAAAGTTGCAATGTGTAATATTGGCAGGACTGCTATTATAGTCTTGATTCCACTACTTACGCAATAAATTAATTTTATGACACACAAGCCATGAATGAAACCTTAATGTAGGGTGCTGCATACTGTCACTGGCAACTCACTCAGTACCTGGTGGACCTTGAATCAGTAGAAATCTTTGAGTAAGCGACCGCTTCAGTGCATTTCCATTGATTATGATTTAGAAGCTTCTGACTTGACCATAAAACGTCTTATCTTGGGATTATGGTCTATATGCTCACAATTCACAACTTGTGTCTTTGGTACTAAAATAGAATAATGGGTTTTATCATGACTATAATAGACATTGTTCAGATCAACTTACCTTTTTTGAGTCTGCTATCCTCCTTTCCTTTTGCAACTACCTTCAGCAGCTCACTACTTGTGCTTTAGGGTTTATCAGAACTTAAAAGCACTTTGTATACTCGTCTAAGAAAGAAAAATCAGAATGTATACCCATAGTCCCAGAGAACAAGTAGGTAGGATTATACATGAAAGAGCTGTCCATGGGTGTAGTTTGATTTGTTTGTTGTGTCTTTGCCTTTCTACGGCAGTTTTCACATGCATAACAGTTTGGAGTTGGGCGTCTTTAGTGGGTTAATTTCTCCTACATACTTATGTGAGAGTACTCTGTACCATAGGACAGTGGTTTGAGGTTTGTCTTTGTGTTGTATTGTGTTGTAGATTTGAACCCCCTACCAGCTGAGTTGCCCTGGTAACTCTGTTGGTAGAGCGCTCACCTAGACCCCACGTTCGTTCGAATCCCACCTAGGGCAGCTCATCTTTTTTCCTTGGTCCTCGGTGTAGTTGATTTGCTTGTTGTGCTTTTTGCCTTTCTACCTTGTAGTTTGACATGCAAAACATACAATTTTCATGCTGTTGATAAAATAGTATATACTCACCTGTAGGATTTACTCATGTAAATGATTTGTACTTCACATTCTTCTTTCTCGACATACGGCTTAATTTTCTCTGATACTAGAACATTTTCGCTGCCGCAACTTTGTAAACGAGCTCTCTCTCTCTCCTTCATCTTCTTTTTCAATGTCAGTTATCACAAAGTGAAAAACTGCATGAATGTTCGAATTTCTTCTAGTGCCATAACGGACACATACCATATCCCCTACCCCAATCTTAAAGAATGGCTTTGCCCGGTCTATAATGGCAGATGGTAGAATAAGGTAGACTGGCCCCTTTGGTTCATAGTGACTGGCACCAAATTTCTTTGGGAATAGTCAGTTTACCCTCCGTCCAGTCTAACTTAGCACCATAGATAATTGCTGTCTGATTATCTCTGACACTTCGTTGAGCAGCTTCTGCTAACAGCACCTTTTCCCACAGGCTCACATACTCATGTAAATCAACATAGGACTCTTTTGAAGCATTAGTGAGGTGTGAGTCTGAAAAACATTCAGCTGGATGGGCGTTATGTTGCAAGCAAATACGATAAAATGGTGTTATTTCTATCATTTGCAATGCAGGAGAAAGAGTACCTTCACGTGTAGACCAAGTCATCCACACCTTTATCAAGTCATATAGATCCATTCGACAGGTTATTGTACTTTTTTACAACTGGTGAATCTTCCTGGTTTGAAAAAGGACTTGCTTGTTTGGAACTTTTAACCTCTAATGCACCCAGGATAACTTGCATTTGTGCCAAGTTCTCTTTACCAGGGTGCTGTATAAACTCCTTTACTTGCTTCCATTTAGCAGGAGACATTCTGTTGCTGTAGGCGAAATCTTCACATTGTGTGTCATTTCCTGCAACATATCAGGTTTCTCTGATTGTTTTGAAGAATGTCATAGTTGAAAATGGTACACTGTAGGCAGCTGTCCAATCGTGAGGGACTGCCTCCCCAACATTGAATGATATGCCTTCATAATCATATGGGAACGAAGAGTTTCATCAAAAGAGATCAAAGTAACGTTCCATGAGTACAGGTGAAGACTTGATTCTATTGTTCTACATTGCAAGTTGCGGACTTAAAGCGCTTATCTTCACAGGTAATACTTTCAATTCCTTGTTTAAGAATGACATTTCAATCTCTACTTTATATTACTTGCGACTACAGCTTCATATTGCTGACTAGACTGAGTATACTCATCTGCTAGCTTAAGAGCCTTCATCTTTTTCTCAAAACTCTTGGCATTTTGAGCTGCACCATTCAGAATATGGCACAGAAACTCCACTTCTTTGTGGCTGTATCCACATGATTGACTAATTAAAAATGATCTTAGCATTCTTGAACAATAATATCTGCATATCTTCTTAATGGTGATGTAAAATGAGTATAAACGGGGCAGGCAAAGGCCATTATGTAGATAAGATTCTCTTTCTGTGTCACTGGAGGTTGCTATATACTCAGCCTTTGTTGTATTTGCCTAAAGCGCGTAGATGAAGCATAAGCTGTGGAAAGCCGGAGTCATCAGTAAGAATATTGAGCAGGACAATTTCATTTCCTTCTTTGAGAGCGTGTTGGAGAGCATGCAAAGTACTCAGAGGTATCACGAGACTCCTTGGTTGTCGGTGGTAAATGCTGGAAATATTTTGAGATAGATTGCGAATATTGAGCAACATTGCAGTGGGCACTAGCGAGCTGCTTCAAACTTTTCAGCATTAGGTGGGAGCTTGCCTTCTAAGTAGTGCACAATGAGGTAGACCAGAGAGATATTTTTCAGCTACATGTCTGTTTGCCCATATCATCATTTCCTCTACCAAGAGGTGCGTCTGCCAGCATTGCCGTTCTTTCCCATCATCCATTTCATAACTCTGTGCAGCTGAATCACCTAGCCTGTCTCTTCTCAGTTTCATTGCAATTTGGAACAGAATTTGTAAAGTTTTCTTGAGATTTGGCTGATCATTAATACTGTCATATTCTTCTACAGACTGGGAAAGATCACTTGGGTATTCTCTCCCGCCCATTATTGCCTGAGCTGTTGGGTAAGATAACTTGACACAAGACCTGACTTTTGATTCTTTGAGCTGTGGATCTTTGATCTCCACTGCACATTCTGTAATGATCACATTTGCTGATACAGTAATTACTTCGCAGATTTGATTCGGATTGAGTGATAGTTTCGCCCGTTTTTTCAAAGGGATAATATTCATTACTTTTTTCCCACCGTAAATAGATTGCCCTTTTGATGCTGCTCTTCTGTCTATTTCATCATTTAATGTAATTGCTTTGGTTGTATTCACTATGTGAACAGCTAAACAGTATGAATCAGGTTTCTTCCAAAGAGAAATTGCATCATCAAGATTTATAGCATCTTCAGGGTCAATGGTAAATGCCCTGGTGTCTATGCTGCTACATACAGGGCCAACCAGTCCTTTTGATTCAAATTGTGATTCGGTTTCTGAGCTTTCTGTTTCATCCTCATATTGCACATTGTGTTCAATCATTAGTAGTCTTTCAGCATGAAATGCCGAGCAGCCTTTTGGCACTGCATGAATAACAGCTCCAAGAGGGAGCCGATATTTTGGGTTCCATTGAAGTATTCTGATAACAAAAACCATGTCTTGTGCAAGTGAAAAGGGAATAACATTTTCTATCTCTGGTATGTTACCTTCAGTGAGAGAGGAAGGCTTAAAGACTACTACATCTTTTGATTGAAGCTCCAAATCAATCATATTCTTATCCTTCTTTTCAAGAAGGTCTCTGGACAATTTTGGAAGATTAAAAAAGAGTGGGTACTTTTTATCCAGGGGGTAAAAGAGGGTTGGATTGTAGAGGTGTGCTCTGCACAATATTGTTTGTTTGTGGCATCTTTTTACTACCCTTAAGACCCTGCCTTTGTTATCTGGGTACTGAAGGTCATTGAAGGTAGAAACCTCTACAATATCATTATGGAATGCACCCCTTATATTGCCTTTTCCTCGAATGTGTACGACGTTCTTAGTTGGGTCCAAGGGAATAGCCTCAGCCTTTGAAAAATACATCATGTTGAGCCTACAATTGTACACATTAGTTGCACCCTTATCTTCATCGTCATCATCTTTGTTGCCTTGCAGAGGCACTGTAGACTCATTAATTCGCCAGGCTAACCTACTTTTGACTGTAGAAAGTTTTAGCTTTGATCTCCGACACTCTGGAATCATTTGAAACTTCTTTTTATATGCATTTAAAATGCTGTCATTATCTCCGTGTAAAATATTATCCAAACAAAGTGTTTCGTTCCCTGAAAACACTTGCTGATGTAGGACCTCTGAAAAATGTGTCCTTTCATCTGCTTGAACATCATTTGGTAGGTAGAAAGACTTGCATTCAACGCAACGTTTTATGAATTCTTTCCAGCACATGAAACTATGATTGCTTGGATCAATTTCATGCATTCTTTTCTCTTTACGAAGAATTTGTAGAGGATTTCCCACAGCAACAACTAAATACTTGGCCCTGGTTAGAGCTGTATTGAACACATAGCGATTTATAATAGTTTTAGTCGTGTTGTTTGGAATTCCTCTTTCGTCTGTTGTTTCACATGTGCCCAGGAAAACTGCTGTAAATTCACAACCTAGGAGTGGTTACACATGAAACAATTGGAAGTACATTTGGTACAGAGATTCTTACCTTGAATTTCATATGTTTTCATCACATCTACAACCTTATCTCTTTCTCCAACTTCTGCACGTAGCTTCCTTGCAATTAGGTTTCTCTGCAAGGGTAAGGCTTCACTGAATATCTAATCACAACAGTTATGATCTATGTCACTAACCTGAGTTGCAGATGGTGTCATGATGCACACTGTTCCTGTGGAATCGTACCTTTCACCCCACTCCTCTGGCCAAGAATTGTAAACATACTTCGTAACTGACTTCACCAATGTGTCTGCTTCTTTCTCATCTGTACCAATCGCATTAGCTGTGTCTGTGTCCTCAATACTGGAGCAGACAAACACAAGTGGGAACGGAGCTAATGGATGTGCTTTGGCATCTGCAACGTTGCACTGCAGCGTGGACTTGTAGAAGAGAGCAGATGGAAGCATTAGGAGACCACTGTGAGATCTGTAGTTCTGGAGGAGGGAAAACACACATGACTTTTGTTCATCTGCACTGAAGTGGTTGTGAAGACGTTCTAGTAATGAAGTAGAGAGCCCATTTCTCCTTGCCTCTTCACCAAGCACTAACACATTTGGACCAACCTACAAGGTGTATAATTTAATAAGGTAAACAGGAAGTGTGTAAGTGCTTTTCATTACCTGACAATGATCTCCAGCCAGGACAATCTTGGTGTGAGGTCCAGCATGCTGAAGTGGAATAATAGCTTCAGTTTCTCTTGTTTGTGCAGCCTCATCAATTAATATGTGTGTGATATTTTTGATCCTCAAATGATGCGACAGACCCAGAGTAGAAACAATTATTTCGGGAGCACATAATGAAACTGCTTTAACACTACCGTAGTAATGTCCATACTTCATTTTAACCCTGGAGTGATACTGGGATGTTGAAATACGTACAATTTTGATGTTGTGAAATTGCCGGTTCTCTTCCTGAAGTGATTGAAAGTACTCTATGAATGTGTCTGCAGAGTGCTGATGATGAGTACATATCAGTATAATGTTTCTCTGATCTTGTTTTATCAATTCGTATGCAGCTCGAGCTAAAACACGTGTTTTCCCGGTTCCAAAAGGTCCAGCTATAATAAGTGGAGTAGAGCGCTGCTGAAGGATTCCAGTTAATGCTTGCATCTGCCCAGAACTGTCAAGCTCTAAGTTACACTTACCTATATTCATTCTCTGAGGAGAACTGCTTCCTGCTCTCCTACTGGGTAAGAGTTTCTGAATTACATCATTTGGAAGTGCTTCAAGGGCTTCATGTTGGCGATTAAAGTAAGAATGTTTGAGTTCGAATACCACATCACACTCAATTCTATTCTAGTGGTGATCAATTTCAGGGGGGCATGCGCTTTGTGTGGAATCCTACAGTTAACATTCTAGATGCCACAAAGTCTGCTTTAAATTTCGTTCCATTAATCGTAATTGTAGCTGCTTCCCCAGCTTGGTTTGCATATGCCAGTGCATCATCATTGCCGTCAACACTAGTGATTTCTCCATAGAAACTATATTTTGCAGACTCAAGAAATGTGGTGTTGTAGTACCTTGGTTTCCAGGCTTTTGATTAAAAATCCGAATAAGATACCTTCCATACACCTAAATGAGTAAACGTGCAGTGTGATTAAATGCTCAAGTACCTGTGCCTCAAGGGTTAGTTGTACTATGCATGCTTATTTGTTCAAATCATTACTCCTATAGTAGTACACATCAATTCTAATAACCACCGGCACTGGTTGAATGCCAGGACAACAAACTTCATCAGGGAGTCATGCGTTCTGTCTCTGCTGATTGAAAGATGCCGTAGTACTCGAGGCCTGACTGGCATGACTTTAAATACTTAGTGAAAAGCAATCTTTGCTACAAACACATCAGGGAAAGAGGGGTAGGTATTTGTTAAAAACATATGCACATTTTATTTGTCAAGCTACCTCCAATATACTCAAATTTTTTTTATGAAGCAGGTTTTCGTACAAAAATACTTAGAAGAGAGATCAGATCACAAAGAACCCATTGTTTAAAGCTATTAACCAGAGAGAAAACTAAATTGACAAACAACACTACCAGTGATATAAATTATGAAAAGCACTGAAGTGCAAACCCTCGGCGCATTGTGATGCGCACGCGTGAGTAAACGCATGCGCTGTATCACTAATTGATGGGCTGGGTTAAGTTCTAGCTGTTACTCCTGGTCTCTAGCCATCTCGCGCAGAGTCTGACGCGGGCTAACTACACGCCCTGCGTTGCATCTTCGCCTCCGAGCACGCGGATCGATCAGACCACGGTAAGCCATCCCGTCCGTTGCGTATTTGCATATTGACTTTTTCGTGCTCTAGCTTTTCAGAGAAAACCGCCTTTATTTTCTGACCTTCGTCGCCCGTTGGGTAGATGGTATCGTTTCTGGGACGAACAGACGTTCGAGGAGTGAGATGTAGAGTAACAGACAAACAGACAGACAGACCCAACTACTGTACCCTCACTGCGCATGCGCGCCGAGGGTAACAAGCACAGATTGCAAACCTTCAGTCACTAGCTATATGCATTGCAACACCCATGTGCATGTGTTGGTTGGTTCTATCAATTGATGGGCTTGGCCATGCTGTCACTAGTGGTCTCTCCTAGCTTGCTTACTGAGAGTCTGACATACTGGTAGATAGCATGTGGAACTCAATACTCGTCCCTGTTGCAACCTCAGATGCTTCTACAGATGCACTGCAATTGGAGCAAGCCAGTGCTAAGTTGGATATCACTTGTTTTTCACGTAATAACTTTTACGAAAACTGCCTTTTTAAACCCAGTGTATATAGTGATGAACCTGTTGGTATCGTTGTTTTCTAATTATTGCGTGGTGACAGAAAACATGGTAACAGGCAAAATCATGGCCAGGCAACAAACAATTCATACTGTAACCCTCACTGTGCCAAGGGTCAACTACTCTTGCACCCATACACTCTGGGTATGAGTACGAAACTAAAATGCAAACCCAATGTCACGAAGCTGCTGTGCAAACTAGTTCTCTGAAATCTGTTGGGGACACACAGTAACCAAAGTGTTTGGGCAGTGTTCATTGTTTTCTACAATGGCAGTGGCTGATTTTATGCAGGTACAAACCTCTCAGAAAGAATTGACACATGCTCCTTTTCCTCCCAACAGAGCAAGTGATGGAATCTTTTCTTGTAGTTCTCCAGTGTTAGTGGCCCGTGAAATATCCGCTCATCCAATTTGTCCCCATATTGAAAGAAATATTTTGTGTTTTCCACTGCAACTCCTTCAACATCTTGCTGGGAAGATGTAGTTGATCTTCTCTGTCTTTTTGACACTCGCACATTTTTTGTTTCCTCAAGAGTCTGAAAAGAGTAATACATGGGAGAGTCAGTATATACATGAAGATATTTACATGAAAATTCCATGTATCAACATTGTACAACAGGCATTAAATTGACCCTTGTTCACACTACCAGATGAATTTTTGGAAGCGGGAGCGACGCAACTGCAGATATACAGCCTATGCAGCCGTTGTTTAGCATGCACAGGGAGCATTATAGCTTGGTGGCTCTGTCGGATGTGATGTTGTGATGGCTGCACGCTGCGCCCGCACAGTTGTAAGAAAGGCGTGTTTCCGCTCCTCGAGTGTTTCTAAAGCGAGACGCTGCTTCCTGTGAGCTCTGTGTTCTGCTAGTCACCCCTTGGTGATTAAGAATCACGTACAACATTACGGTATGTGTGGCATCGATGGATAGGCGCAAATTGGAAAAATCGGCCTGGCTTGCCAATTAATGTGTGCCTAAGTTCCTTTCTTTATTTCTCGTTTGACCTAGTGATGAGATACTTCTAAGTCTCTAGCCAGTCTGAGAAAAACCTTGTTGGCGTTAGGTTCTGAGTTGTGGGAGGATAATTTTTCTTCGCTGCTTGAGCTTGTTAAGGGATATCTGGTAGCTTAAGAAAGGCTTGAGTTTTATGGCCATAATCCTAGCGTTAAACTGTCCCAGTCTCAGGGTGCACCTGGAGACTGCAAGGGGTCACCATGGGGCTGGGTAAGTTTAGGTGTCTGTGTGGTAAGGCAGGCACTAATAATTCTGGTATATCTTGTTCTATATAGCCCCACCTAGTTATAGATGGTGGTCAGTGGCCCTAATGCTATGGTGCTATATTATTGCTTCTGTTGTCTGAGGTTAGGAGAGTGAGAGGGGAAGAATGCAAAACTGAACTTAAGTTGGAAGTCAATCTCTATGAGGGAGAGCTGACAGTTAATAATCATGTGGGCACTGGATTCCCAGTCTCCAGGCCTGACTTCAACTCCCATACCAGAGTGAGAGGGGAAGAATGCAAAACTGAACTTAAGTTGGAAGTCAATCTCTATGAGGGAGAATCTGTGGAGAGCTGACAGTTGATAGTCATTTGGGCACTGGATTCCCAGTCTCCAGGCCTGACTTCAACTCCCATACCATTGGTTTTCACATCAACAGTAATAACACGTTAGAAACTTCTCCATCTCATCAAAATTCGTCATGCATGCAGTGGTAGGTTTTCAATATCCAGCCAAAACTAGACACATGCACCTCTGCCGTTCATATTTGAATGTGGTTTGCAGTAGAATTATAAACAATATGCATTGACCACAACCTGTACATACAACAATGCTAACTATGTAGGTGAGGTAAGTAACTACACAATGCCTGAGGATATTCTCAATTTACTTACAGGAAAATCAGTCGTGTTTGGTCCATTCCCTTCGTGTATGAAAGATTTTGGAACATCACGGTTATAAGATGTTGGAAAATTCAGCCTGACAGACTTATTGTAATCATCTTGAGAACCTGCAATGCAAGGAAGTGAGTTTTTAAAATCTTAATAGAACCACAATAGTGTCTAGATGCAAGCAACTAAAACCTGACTAAGCTTGGCGAGGAAGGGTTAAGGGTTTCGTGGTTTAATAGCCTTACTGAAGTTTTCTCAACAAAATTTTGTAGGTAGGGATATTTGTATTGCAGGACCAGCAATCTGCGAGACCGCAAAATTATCCTGAAACATAAATGTTTTGTCTGTCGCAAGTCTCCCAAGTATATTATATTCTATGTTGTAAAAAGACATACCAGCTGTGGCTTGGGAGAAGGAAGGTGTGGTGACTGGCCACCTCGACTGACTTCTTGCAGAGTGGTTTGTTGGTGTCGTCTTAGGTTGTGTTGGAACTTGACCTCTGTCCAACTTCACTAGGGGTTCAGGTACGACTCTTCTGTTTGTGGATTTAACTTCCTGGTGTACTTGCTTGGCTGCTGGGGCACAGACAATGTCCCTGGTCTAAAAAGAATTAATCAGCTAATGGTATACAAATAAATGAAAAATAATGTTGCATACTATATTGGCTGACTTTGAGACACCATCTACTGTGCTTTCTTTTCTGGTAGCTTTAGGAGCTGCTGCAATTTCTTTCTGTGGTGTACCTACATCCACACATAAATTACATGACTGGTTTTGGAGAAGTTATGACAAATGTGGTTACTGAAAAAACGTGGACAGTATTGATACATGTGCAACAATAAGTGGATCCAGAAATCCTGGGGTGTTCTGCAAAATCACTGTCAACATCTAAGAGTTGACCAGGCGCCTTAATTTCAGGAAAGAATAAGGGTTTACGAAAGTATGGCTCGTGCTCCTTAAGCAATTAATGTGCACCACCATTATTTTGTGAACGTTAATAGCTGACAGAGCAACCAGCCCCTCAGTTACTCACGTAGGTAACTAAGTCAGTGAAATAATTACCACAGATCGATGGTGTTTCTTGTTTCAGAAGAGAATCTACGGCAGTCATCAACCTTTCTTTCAGCCTTTTCTCGTGAGAGGGGTTAGCAACACACTCAGGTATAATAAGAGTGTTATGAAAGAGACACATCTTGAGGTACTGACTCCAACAGTGCCCACTCTTGTACTTTAGATGCATGTGCTTCTCAATCGACATGAGCAGATATGGGTTTCCAAAAGCTTATGATCAGTGACCGGGCTCTTGTTATGGCAGTGTTGAAAACATACAGGTCGCAAGTACTCTTTGTTGGGTTACGTGTTTCTCCATTGTGATTTGTAGGCTCACATGTACTGATATAGAGGACATCATACTCTTGACCTGCACAGAGTTTTAAGTGTGAGTTAGTAAGGTGCACTTAATTACCGTATAAAGATTTATAGACCTAAGGGACCAGTGACACAGGCCTAAATGTTACCGTAACTATTAGTCAATACTATTACCAAATGTCTTCATGCGAAACATTGTATATTGAAGGCTTTAGCCATAATTTAAAGTCAACATGCCCCATCTTAACAAACCTTGAATATCAAATGTTGGATGAACACGCACATATGGTGGCATCTTATGCTTTAACTTCTTTTGTCTAAGTAGGGTCACCTGTTGTGGATAGTTAAATAACCATAGGTGATAGGCAGGAATCAGTTTACACAGAGTTCTGATGAGACGTAGGTTACATTTTATGAACGAAACTCAGGCATAGTGACTGGAAACCAGTGCGTTAGGCACGTGGTTAGATTCTCAGAGAAAAGCTAGTCTTCCTCTGTCAGTTGTTGTCTGTATACATACAAGCACACAGCTTTTGCAATCCAATTTCTTGGTTACGAGTGGCAAGTACATAGGTATGCATGATATATAAGATGTGTAAAGTGTCAGCAACCAACAACAAGCTAGTTATAGGGATAGACGATATATGATGATACGATATTATTAACATAATTTAAAACAAACTTACATGAATTATGCTCATAAAAACATACCTGACCACGAGAAGAGCTCATTACAGAAACTCGTATCACTCCCCCCAGCTTGATATGCCCACTCAACATATTCATAAGAATATCTGCTTCAGCTTCATTTGTACAATCAGTACAAAACTGTTTTTGTTCGATGCTTGTGCAAACAAATACCATTGGGTACGAGAAACCGTAGGGAATTTTGATGCTTGAAGTTAAAGCACTAGGCTTAACATGTGACATGTAGAACATTTGCGAGGCAAAGCTTATTATGTCTTTATGACAGCGATAGTTTTCCATAAGATTGGCTTGCAGGTACCGTGTCTTTTCCCCAATAGCACTGTAACGATACTTTAGCCTTTCCAACAGAGATGTTTTAAGCCCATGCTTACAAGCTTCTTCTCCTAGAACCAGCAGTGAAGGACCAACCTGAATAACATAAAAATAAGTTATGTGCTATATACTACATACCTTTTTGCCAGAGTTTGCAATGTTCTATTAGAGCTGAAGCGCTGATTTTTTCACTAAACGTCTCCAGATTTGCCGGAGGTGTGCACGGACATCAAACAATCATTTCTTTCCTGCTGCAAGTCACTACAGTAGACCGTGGAGCACTTCCACACTTAATGAACGCCATTTGCTGCTAACTCAGCAATGAGCATGCACCAAAACAGGGGGGGGCGTTGTCCTGATGCCACGTGTGCACGCGTCGGACAGTAGCCAGTGCTTTCCAGGTAGTAAGTATCGGGAAGCGTACTAGCTAACCTGTGAAACCATAACTGTGCACTGTGTATAAAGATGCCAAAACCTAATTACACCTTGTACTGGACACTATTACACTGTCATCTAAGTATTATGTCTATACTGCCTCCGGCTTCAGGCATCAGCAGCCCATTAGCTATTGCTTGCGTGCAATGTTAGACCTTCAGTGTTTTAGTGTCCCTGCCTAGGTATACCCAACTACATGTCACCACAAATGCTCACTTTGCCATGCAGTCACAATTTCTTCATTGTCAACCTCTCGACAAGAAAATGCAGTGCTGTCATAGCTCTTCATTAAAAATAGTGGAAACAAGTGGAAAAATCATTCCAAGGGGATATGGGGATAGCTTGAAGCACCAGAATCATTATATACACAGCAAAGATACACAAAAAAGTGCATGATAAAAATAGTGGAAACAAGTGGACAAATCATTCCAAGGGGGATATAGGGATAGCTTGAAGCACCAGAATCATTATATACACAGCAAAGATACACAAAAAAGTGCATGACACCATCCCTATATATATCTTTGTTCATAGGCAAGGTATCCGACAAGGATATAGGAATGGTGTCGTGTAGTTTTTTTTGTGTATCTTTGCTGTGTAATGATCCTTGTTTCTTCCTTTTTGGTGCTTCAAGCCATCCCTATATCCCCCTTCATTTTCATTTTGCCAATTGTATAAGTTCACAAGAGTGCACTTACTTGACGTGGATCCCCTGCAATGATTATCTTTGTGTCCTTGTCTGCCAGACAGAGTGGTGCAACAGCTTCAGGTTCACGTGCTTGGGCTCCCTCATCAATCAGTATGTGAGTTAAAAATCCCGAAGGAATTACATCTTTCAATTGAAATGAGGTCAAAAATGTAGTTATTATTACTACCTTCCTTTCCGTAACCACACTCATCCATATCTGCTTAAAGGTGGACACTGTTATTGTGCATCGACCGAATATTTTATTTTTAGGGATATAGCTATTGGGTACAATCCGTATGACTTTAGCATTGAGTGGATGTCTCCTATGCTCCATCAATGGTAAGAAGTAAGTCAGAACTGTATCTGCGGTGGCTTGATGGTGAGCACAAATAAGTATTCTAGCGGAAGACTGCATCACATCTGCTTCAGCTATAAAACAATAGGCAACTGACGCCAAAAAGCAGGTTTTCCCAGTTCCAAAGGCACCTGATATTAGAACCGGGGGTGAACCTGACTTACATGTTAGAGCTACCTGATATGATGATTGCTTCTCAGGTGATATTGCATCAAGATGCAAAATATTCAAATATTCTCTTGGGACATAATGTAGGGCTCTAATACCCTCTGCTCTTACTCCCCTGTCAAAATCCTGCGGTTGGGGCATAAGCCTTCTCACCACCACATCAGAAAGCCCACTCAGCACGTTATGCAGACTATCAAAGTAAGAATGTTTTACTTCAAATTGAGCCTCAATCTCTGTAAGGCAATGAGGTGGCCTAAAGTGGTTATCCATTGATATGTACACTCTGTTTTCTGTATAAGCATAGCTATTATCTCTTTGAACATCTGCTCTCACTTCCATTTGCCCGTGAACCAGATATACAGCTTCACTTGCTTGTGTGGCATAGGCTACAATATCGCCATCGTTGACATGGAGAAACCCAAAGTTTTTGCAAGCATCCTGTTCATATATGGTAATGGGGTAGGTTCCATCACACCTGCATGCATGACATAATTGGTACAGGCTTATAGTGTAAAGTCAAGTTGGTTTGCATAATTAGGTAACCGACAGAAAGTATTTAACTCATATCTCTGGCCTGTCAAAAGTAATTCTGTCCAACGTTTCGACACCTATTCAGGAAAGAACATCAGATAGCCGTCTTCACGGGGGATAGTGAGAGGTCTGCACTAGCAGAGCATGCCTTAAGACTGGACATGGAACAATGCCACTGTACTGCCATCATGCAGCTCTTGGTCCAACGCCTGCTTTTAGAGTCCTGGTATGTACAAAGCCAACAAAGTGGCCTTAACAGAGAGTAGGGACCACTGCCATCTCTGTACAAGACTCTGAATGGCAATCACTGAGTTGGCATTAATCAATTTCACAATATCGGTAGCTACATTCCCGTTTTTCTAGATTACTAGTCACCAGTCACTGTGCACTTCATTCCCTGAAGATGACACCTGAATAGGTGTCGAAACCTTGGACAGAATAGCTTTTGACAGGCCAGAGATATGAGTCAATAATTTTTATTGTCCTGATTAACGAGGTGTCCTCATTTGAGGGGGTTGATATTTTACTGATAATGATATATGTAGTTGCATATGAAGACATTATACATATTAAACGATCATGAAGTAAAGAATTCCAACAGCGAAGATTGCCTTGATGATTTAGTAAGGTTCAGAGAGTGTAGTTTAGTGAGTGAACCTGTCAAAGACATAGTTTTTGTTGATTCGCAAGTATATCCTCTGCATTCCAAGAACTGACGCCAGATGGACATCTTCAAGGCATGCGATCGCCCCAGGTAAGTTGTGAAGTTTTGTGCATGGCAAGTCAGTAGATTCTTCCTCCGACTCTCAAAATATCTTGAAGTATTTCGGGTAGTCTCTCATTGCCTTCTCAGCTACCATCAGGGCCATCAAGGCTCGGCTGAACCTGCTGCCTGTGTCCAGTCACCGCTTGAAATATGGAGGATCAGTGGCTGAGACGAGGTGCAGGAGCTGCACTGGACACATTGAGACACAGGAGCACTGCCTCAGTGTGTGCCAGGCCTGCATGCCAGCAATGAAGAGCCGTCACGACAAGGTCATGGGACGCCTAGTCGAAGCCATCCCTGACTCCCTGGGGACAAAGTTCCTCCATCAGACAGTACAGGATTGCCCTGGACTGCTCAGGCCGGACATTGTTATCCTAAATGAGGAGCAAAAGAAGGCCTTTCTGATCGACGTTACTCGCCCATGTGAGCGCCCTGAAAACATGGAGGCGACAAGAAGGCGCATACAGGACAAGTACGCATGTCTTGAGAGCAAAGGCTATCAAACAAGCTTAGACGCCTTTGTCGTGGGGTCGCTGGGGACATGGGATCCAGAAAACGATCACCTTCTCTCTACTTTGGGGATCGGTCAGAAGTACGGAGCCCTGTTCAAAAAACAACTCTGTTGCCGTGACGCCATCACCGGCAGTTACGAGGTGTGGGCCACCTGTTGTAGGCGGCAGCAGCTCCAGCAGAGTACAGGCTAAATCCATTTACACCAGTCTTAACTCTAGTGATGTGTTTGGTCCCCTCATGGCCTCTCACTCACAAGCCACCTGCACATTTGATACCACTGAAAAAAGGCATCATTGAGGTAAGCATAATTATTCAGAGGTTTCGATATCTCTACGTGCTTGACACAACCACTGCTAGCATTCGACTCGTAGAGCTCTTTAACCACCTTCTTGTTCTTCAGAATTGTGCTGACTGAGTTTACCGCATTCACACCTATTTTGCCTCTCTCTCCGACATTTTGAACACCTGTACCTCATTTCAGTGAAGTAAACCGCGATGGGCTGGAGGTGCCTGCATTATCGTTTGTATGGGCCTAAGACTTACGTGGAGAGAGCCAGGACTATGCTCAGTGGTGATCAAAGCCGAGTGCAATCCTCTGGAGTGTCTGGACCGTCACAAAGCTGCTTCGTTACTATTAACCGTTCTGGTTCACTGTTATTCAGTATGGGAGTATTTGATTTCGTGCATAAAACTTCGTCCGCAGGGCTTCCGTATTTCAGGGGTCGAATTATACAGCTGTAATAGGCAATGCGTCCCTATGCAAAGCGTCCTAAAACAAGGTGTCAGCATTTCAGAGCTTCGGATTATCGAGGTACCACTGTAAACATGCCCAGCCCATATCAATTAGCGGCATCGCGCATGCGCAGTTCGCCTACGGTTTGCACTTTAGTGCTTTCCAGTACATAATTTTACATGTACTGAAAAGGCAGATTGAAGTTCTACTCGAACTCGAAGAGAACTCATTGTATTGAAGTTAATACAGTTAGACCACCCAGAAAACTGGCCGCCTAGGTCATAATGGTCTACCCTCTACTTTTTACCTGGCCTATAAAGAGATGCAGAAAGAAATATGCTTCACTGACTGTTAAAGATATTGATAGGTTATGCTGATGTAAACATAGAAAGTGTTGGTATTATCCCGTCAAAATTGTAGATTTGTGATGCATTTAGGCAATGTTCATAGAACACACGACAGGTGGAAAAAGAGAAACAGCCAACTTTTGTCCAGAATCGAACTCAGGTGTGGTGACTGGAAGTCCAGTACCCTAATAGAAGATTTCAGCTCTTTCCTTGCTCATCTGCACAATCCTATCATTTACACAATGTGTTTGACAGAGTTTGTTGATGTCATGCTGCACTCCACTAGGTTTTGGAGACTGGTGTGCACAACTCTCAAGAGAACAGATTGCCATAACAGCCATCCTAGCAGCGTGTAGAAGCGCGTTATCCTGACGCATGCGCACGTAGCACATGTGCGCGCTGCAGAGTATCCTCAACGCACATGCGCACTAAGGGTTACAGTAGTCGTTCTCTGTCTGCCAACGCTGATTCTGGCACTTCAGGCTACGAGGCGGCCTATTGGTGATACCAGCGGCTTCAGAATTACACGGGCCTGAAAATTATAAAGCGATTTTTCTGAAACGACTGCGTTCGAGAGATGCACTGGCATACCTCGATCTGATCTGCTAGCTCTGTGTACCTTGGAGGTTACAACGAAGGGCGTGTAACGACTGCTGCATGCTACCTACTAGTGTACATAGTTGGCCTGTGTCACACTTTCCGTGAGTTACATATATACTGCATGAGGCAACTTGTGTTCAGTATGTATAATGAGTGTACTAAAGGAGCCATTCAGATAATCAAATTGATAGTAAACACGGAAAGCATTCCTTTTCCAGAAAAAATATGCAATCACAAGATAATTTTCCGATTTTGTAAAAATGAAATTTCTATTCTCTAGAAACCAGATAACATGCAATTGCATGTAGTATAATATGTAATTTCAGAAAACCAGGAATTTAACATTTGATGACAATTGAAAACTTGAACTGCATATTTTGGTTTTGAGAAACTCTAGATATTGCATGTTTTGAGAAATTCTAAAAGGTTTGCTCAAAGGCATTGTCTAGTCTTAAGGGTCCCTTCCCTTGCGGAATGTCTGGCCCCACGAGACTAAGCATCGCACTCACTTCGGACTTGCCTTGAGCTGGATAGTCTATGCATACGCATAACAACGCACCCTTTTGAAGTTGCCATGGGGACAACTTACACAACATGGCCTGCGACTGCAGCTTGCGAACAAGTATACACCAATGATTAAAGCGTTACACTGTCAAGCGTGCTATCCAAAGTGTTTGCCCCATTATGCAGTTGTCGCAGGATAGCTAGGTTGAAATGACTGATCAAGCGACGGAAGCGATGGAAAGCATCTTACCTTGTTGATACAAGTTGTGATAGTGATTTTGACCTGGCTGAACGTAAGTAGAGTCTTACACGCGAGTTAGTGAGCAGATGCTTCAAAGCAAGAAGAAAAAGCCAAGATTAGAAGCACTTGCATGAGATTTGCTAATGTTTTTGAGTGCTTCATTTGTAAGTCTGCTGCAAAGTTTCCAGCAATTGTATCTCCATAGTTGCCAACTTTTCAACAGGATATTCCGGGACAGCGGGCGATTTTTTTACCACGCCCCCTAATTTACGTGCCACACCCACTAATTAATGTCGTAATATGCATTAGAAACGCATGGACGGATGTCGCAATCGCGCATTATGTTTGTGAGACGCATACGCAGACGTGAAGTGGGCGGGGATAATGCGAGGAAAATACTCAAGCTATCTCAGAACTGCGAACTATTGTCAGAGAGGACTGCTATTTTGCCTCGACCGGGACACCGCCGGGACAAGGACACCGCCAGGACAAGACCCAAACTACTGGGACTGTCCCGGCCATTCCGGGACGGTTGGCAACTATGTATCTCCTTGCTGCAGCATCGTGCTGGGATGTGTTGAACAGTCGGTGACAAACAGTCCGCAGTGCCCACACCGCCATGGTTCCCTAACGATGCAACAGTGCTGCTCAAAGCTTCCATTTATCAGCAATCTCAGTAAATGCTTTGTGTGAGCCATCCAGTGAAGAAGATTCAGCTTCTTCTGGGCTATTAGAGCTTGACTAAAACCTGCAGTAGTAACTGAACCTTGATACTATACTGAAAGCTATGTTTTTCTAATCTCACTGGCCAGACCCTGAGAACAAAAATTCTTCCTCGTTGGATCTAGCTAGCTTGTGTAATAGGTGCATGCGCACATTCCCCCCATGAGTGTCGCAGACTTTGCATCATCATTATCGTACTTAGACAAGGGTGTCGGCCACATGTTTCCTCGTGTCCTATCACGGATTTCAACAAAGTGGCAGAGATGGTTTTGCAAGGGAGAAGTCACAGAAATAAATATTAGTAGTTGGCTTAGCCAACGTTAGCTACCGTGCCAAAAGAGGATTCTCAGAGAGAAACATTCATCTTTTTTTCAAGAAACATGGCATCCAAGAGCCCAAGGGTTCACAGCTAGACTATGTTGTTCAAAGATGTGTAAAGGAGGCAACGACTTTGTGTTTGGATATCTATTTATACGAGTATTCCAGGTGTGCTATCGTTTTGCAGCTACACTACCATCCTAACATTATCACTCCCGTAATAGCACTGGTTCTACGCCGAGGGTTTGCACTTTAGTGCTTTTCATTACGCATGCAGTTGAAATAATCAAAAGCACTAACCGGTCATGGAGTAGAGTAATATGTTCCTTCTCCTCCCAGCACAACAGTCTGTGAAACTTTTTCTTGTAGTTTGTGATGGTAAGAGGTTCTATCAGATCTTCTAGTTGGAGTAATTCCTTCGATCGTTTCTGAAAAGTGCTCTTTGTTTGGATGGTCGGAGGTTTTGACCGAGGTGGATCAGGGACATACTCTGTGTGTGGATCTGGCCAGGAATCCTGTTGCTGTATGCATAAGAAAATCCCAGCATAAAGCATAAGAGATGCACAGAAAGACTGGAAAGCACTCAACCTCATATACAGTTCACTTTTCAATAATCCGTAGACCATGTATAATTATACTCATAGCACTGGGTGGAGCCAACAGTACATGTACATGAGATAGAAGTGTCTGTCTTACCTCCCAGACACCTTAAATAATGAAAAGCACTAAAGTTCAAACCCTTTGGCGAACTGCGCATGAGCGGTACCGCTGGGCTGGGCCTATTAGTATGCTTTTACTTGTAGTCTCCTGCTAGTAGCTCGTACAGTAGTAGATAGCATGCAGGAGTCGATACACGCCCTTCGTTTTTGCTTCTTGTGCCTCCGAGGTACACAGAGCAAGAGGGTCAGGTCGAGGTAAGCAAGTGATAATTAGCATTTCGCTTGTTCACTTGGTTTTCACGCCATAACTTTAGAACGCAGTACTTCTACTAAAATCACATCAAGCCAGTGTAGAAATGAACCTGTTGGTATCGGCTATTTTGTTGTCTTGTTGCACGTGGTGGCAGAAAATATGTAACAAACAGACAGACGGATGGACGGAATGACAAACCAAGTACTGTAACCCTTGCTGCACATGCACACCGAGGGTTAACTACCAATCTGCGACAGTTATAACAAGCTACAACTATACACAATGTATCATACTTCAGGCTCATAATTACTGTATTCCCACTACAAGAGGTCTTTTGGGTCAATCAAAACAGACAATAGAGTCTTGCATGCTACAAATACAACAAAACTACAGTTTCAGTAGTCATGTTCGGTTTAGCACAACTTGGAGACTGCTCTTTGAACATGAATGCGATATTATATGCACATAAAAAGAGCATGTTAATCTCTAGTAAGAGGTAAGGAGCTAGAACGACGTAATAATGTTGGTTTATGTAGTGCAAGTGCAGATCTTTGATGTTTCTGTAGCTAGTAGCCGTAGCTTATCTATCAGCAGTAAATTCTTGCCCGTGTTTGATAACCAGCAGCTGACTTACAAGTAGGGATATATATATATATTATTGGCAGAAAATTCCCCACGAGGAGCTTTACATTATAATACTGTGCTTGTGCAACGTGGGAAAGGCTGGCGTTTTATCTATAGACAGTCTCCTGTACGCACGTCAGGCATTGTGCAGCATGCGCAGTGTGGAGAGATTCCTCCAATTCGACTCTTCCTAGTCCACACACAGTGTTAGTTGAGTTGGGCCAGAACGACTTTGTCTCGATCTCTTTGTCAAAAGTGCAGTAACATTTCTTAACGTTACACTGACACACGTGATGAATAATTTTGCCCATGGGCGGCAGAGAAAAATTTGCATTTCTAAAGCGTGGCACATATCTGAGATGCGATGCAGAATTGGTTGCCTAGCGGTAAGGTGCTCAGCAACTTGGAGTAATCTGTGTACTCAGTGCCTGGTGAGCATGAAGCTGAGCCGGCAGCCAAACAAACTGTGTTAATTAATATTACATGAGGTGTTGCGTGGAGACACAATACCTCGGGTGCAGTCTAAGAGCAGGCTAGCTATTATTTATTCATCTGAGGGACTGTAGGTGCAGGTCCAGTTTGAATGTCGCTCACGCTCGCTACAGATATGCCCATCTAGTTTACTACACATGTATTTAAAAGTGTTGCATTGATACATCTTGGGACATTAAATAACCAGGTCATAAAAAAACGAATAATGTGCTCAATCTGGTGTTTGGACATCTGTAGATATTTGTAGGTGATTGTACAATGTCACATAGTAAAGTGACAAACATGGCTTTACTTGTACACTGACCCACTTAGTACTTTCTGTCTGTCAGTGTAGTTAGTGTTTTAAGGCACAAATGAAGGTTGTTGGTGGTAAGGAGAGTAAAGTGTTTTGTGGGAAAAACATGCTGGGTTCAAACTAAATAAAAGAGTAGTCTAGACTCTGTGTTGTCGGTTGATCTACAGACATAGATTTTCCTATTATTATTGGTGTGTGGCAGACAAACGGTACATCAGTACTGCTCAAGGGAAAGTTTGAAGCTAACAATACTAAAGTAGAACCACTCTTAAAGGTTTAGCTCAACCCTTGTATTTAAAAAGCTCACTCATGCTGAAAAAGAAGGGAAGAACAGGAGGGCTACTTCATAACAAATGGTCTTCCATGAGTAATGGTGCACATATGCAGTGGTTACATGGCCATCTGCTATATATCATTAAAGAAAAGTTGATAGAGACAGATGGTAGATAGAGAAATCATTAGAGTAGAGATTATGACCTTCTTAGCATTAGGCTGTTCAATCTCTGATCAAAGTAGGAGACCCTAGTGCATATTCAGATGAGTAAAAACACTTGGATGGAGAAAGGGTGTGATAGGATTTAGGTAGGCACTACCTAGAAAAGTGTAGCACAGGGGTATTTGGTACAGGGTGAAGCTAAAACTGTAAGATAATCTACTTGTTCAATGTACCTAAGGCCATCCATTTTCTTGTGAGAGTGGGCAAAGGAGTTTTAAGCTGTTTTCAATACTGAAACACAACAGAAGATGAAAAGCATTCATAGTGAAATTATTTCCTACACTAAACATGCAACCTTTGACTAGCTAGTGCATGAACCATCCTGAAGTAAACATATCCATTGTTTTCTCAGTGGGCAGTGGTGCAGGGTCAGCAAGGGTAGAATGTTACTAAAGATAGAACTTAACAACAGGGCACAGTGCAAGAATGCAATTAAGTTTCAGTTTTCAGGAAAAAATTACTGCCGCGTTCCCTTTAACCTACCAGGAGGGACGAGCATGTTCTTACACCTTTGGGTAACATAGATTGGAATTCCCAGAGCAGTGGAAGTATAACTAGATTTGTTACATTATATACAACCTTTGACTAATACAAAAATGTGTGCCAGCCCTGAAATTAACATTCCATCATTTTCTCAGTGGCTGGTGTTGCAGGGTAGCAAATAACACTTTGACAGGAGGGAGACTAGCATGATTTTACACCCTTGAGCATAAAATTTTTACCTGAACTTGTGGAGACATAAGCTGCTTTTTAGACTGCATTTGATTACCTGCAAGATGAAGATGATGGATATCAATGTACAAACCGAGAGTTCGATCTTACCATCCATAGCCAAACGATTCAACGAATACGACCGTTCCCGGGTCATCTTTTGACGATTCCATGATGTCAGCTCCTCTTCGCTATGAGCGAAAGTGCAGGCGACCGCCCCACCGGCATACAGAAGGGGGGCGGAAGGTGCAGAGCCTAAAGCGATGCACTCCCGCGGCGTGTTCGGGTATCTGACGGACGGTTGGGGGACTCTGAAGACTACTGCGACAACGCTGAAACAACACAACATGCACCTCATCGTTAAAACATCATAAAATGTTGTATTACCGGAGAGGCCATGGCTAGTTACTAGCCGGCCGATCGGAAGAGGCTTGAAGTATCCACAGACGACTCTCAGCAAATCGCAGTAGAGTACTGTGAGGTACTGGGAAGAAGTTGGACGATTTAAAAGGCCCCGGCTCGCAGAATGGCATCGGACAGGAAAACTGCGGGAGTAAGTATTATACAGTCTCGCAGCTGCACACCTATATAAGGCTGGAATTACTTACACTCGTAGCGCGCATAATTGATTTACGCGCCCCCGTAATCGGTTAGCTTAGCTAGACTAGACACCACACCCACTGCATGCACTGGGCATGTGCGCATGCCTAACCACGTGTCAGCCGGACAGTATATACAGTACAGACGGGTGGTGGAGACGGGATGGCTCGATTGGGAGGCGAAGGAGCTTCTCACTCGGGATATTGTGAATCGGGTGAATCACACAGAGATTGTCCTTCAGCCTCACGCTCCGGTGTTATAATTGTCGGGGCAACCGCTGGGACAATTGGAAATGCAGAGGGAGTTGTGACCACGACAGTGAGCTATGTACATACCGTGCATGTGCAGCGTTCACGAGAAAAGGAGGAAGTCAACTGCACTTGGAGATCCGGCGGTCTTTTGCCGGGACTGCGGGTCACTCTGTAGATGCTGTAGATAGCGTCTGGAGATGATGACCTGTCAATTGTACTGTCCGATAAAGTGGCAGAGTTTTAACTCATTAAAAAGCCTAGTTCAGTGGGTCAAGTCATGACAAAAAGGAGGGATGTAGGGATGGGTCCACCAGATCAATTATAGTAGCGTTTGTCTTGGGCACCATTTTTTTGTTCATTCGCTGTGAAGACAGGGCCAACCGTAAGTGATGCACTGCTTGCTAACTTGCTAAAACCTTTTTGTGTCAAGGTCTAAGTCATGGTTTCTGTATATACACTTAGGCAAGGTCATGAACATAACCAGTATGTTATCTTGCCTCTTTAACATTGACCTAAAACTTTTTAACAGTCTCTAGTGAACACTCCAAATGAGCTGTATCTGAGCTCCCAGCAGATGTTGAATGTGAAGCACCCACCGGTTGTATCTCAAGAGCAGGAAGAAATACGGAAAATGGCAGCTGAAGAGGTGGAAGGAAATGTCAGCAAAGAGGTGTTCAGCTCCTATAGTACACTCACACACTCGGTCTTCAGCTCAGCCAGGCCACACCCAGCAGACATCGTAGAGGCTGCATCTCTGGCGGTAAGTGCAGTTTCTGCTGTTTTAACCCAAGTACAAGTAGCTTTCGCTTGCCGCCACGTGCTGCCCTCTATATTTGCACTCCAAGAATGCAGAATTCTACAATTATTATGTGATGCAACCTCTGTTGAATGTAGACCTAATTCCATGATTGCTAGCTCTCTCCTGATAAACTTTCAATCAATGGCCAGTTTGAGGAAGAGAACTCATGTGTGCCCTTGTGATAAGTCATTGTTCCCTTTTTGCCTACCTGGATCTTTTTAGGTTGACCACCACATTTATATGATGGTATATACATGTGTACTACTAGGCATAAAGGAGTTTGAACTGAAACTCTCTTTTAGTGCCTTGTAGTTCCTGTGCATGGCTAAGTATTCGTTTTACCTTAGAAGTGGAAGGGATTGTTGTCCCTCAATTCCATGTATATATACCACAGAGGTCTAAGTCAGCATTACTGGAAAGGCCTAGGTTGATATTGGTATTGAAAGGGCTACAGTTTCATGAATAGGGTTAGTGTACTCACTTCTAGTAACTCCAATTGACAAAGTGTGCCAGGTATATATAGCTGTCTTTCTGTGGTTGTTAAGTAAACTGTTGTGGGCAATAAACCTTTTCCATGCAAATGCAGGTTTCGTAGTAATTCTATATACCTATTATAATTATATCTTCCATAGGATGTCTCTCTTCCCCAACCAACATATGACCTAGCACCATGTGTAGTCCAGTGTGAGAAGCTGAGCTCCCTGCAGCTGGAAGGGGTACTCTATGCCTGCCAGAGACACCTCACTCTCCTGCCAGATGGTAGACGTGGTGCCTTCTTCATAGGAGATGGGGCTGGTGTTGGCAAGGGAAGACAGGTTAGTGTATGATATTAGCTGGGTAAGTGCATTTCATAGCTTGACTCATGTTTCAGCTATCATTCATCCACTATTAAGACAATGACCAAGGTTGTAGAAACTCAGGTGTTTGTGTCTCTCTGACTCTGCAACATAAATTTTTGGCCTAAATAATATTTTAGTTTTATATTGGCTTGAAGATTGAATTATAAGAGGACAAGCACAAATAAGTGTTAAATTGTTGCGTTCCTGCTTACCATGAGTATCACCTATACAATGGCTCCGTTTGGATGGTTACATATGAATTTGAGTAGCAGTCTTACAACACTCCTCTGGTCAAAGGGCCAAGTAAACCCCCAAATTCCACTCCTACAGATAGCTGCAATTATTTTGGAGAACTATGTTAGAGGAAGGTGTAGACATATCTGGTTCAGTGTGTCACATGACCTCAAGATGGATGCAGAGAGGTATGTGTACTAGTTACGTAGAGCCTTGTTGCAATATACTGCAGGAATTATTGATCAGTTACTACGTATTTCCAGTTAAGTTGGGGCTCAAAAAGTGACAAACGAGCCTAAGTGCGTCCTGTAAATATTCTGTAACCTTGGAGCGGTTTAAAGGTCATGTAGGTAAGAGTGGCGATAAGAGGGACTGAATAGCACAGTAATGCAACAGTATGACTTAATAGGATTCCTAATAAGGTGGCGTTGTTCTACATGATACTAGAGACAGGGTGTTTACACAACGGAAGTGCTTATTAATGACTCCTGACAAAAAGAGCTACCCTGCTCTAACCCACAGTGCTCTACTACTGGGCAGCTCAGCAGGCTAGGCTTGAAGTATGCAATAAAACAGAAGGCAGTGGGAACCCCCAACTCTATGTCATGGCAGGAAACCTGTTACTTTGTATATAGGAGCTAACCAAGATAATTAACACAAAAGATACCCCACTCCAAGTTAAGTACATTCATGATAGACTTACATTATTATAAGAGCTTAGTTGGCATACATGGAGGGAAGGGACGGAGTTCCTTCTGTGTGATGATGAGTGTGAAAGTGTGCGTGTGTGAGTCACATTTTGTGTGAGTGTCCAGCCTTAGGAGGAAAGTCTGGCAGAACGTGGCTCTGTAAGGTAGGAGGAGATTGTGGGTCTCATTCCAAGACCACACTCCACAGTATATTATAAGAAAAAGAGGGACTAAAGAATGCGTTTGGTTTCTTTCATAGAGATTTGAGAGATATTGGGTGCTATATAAAAATGATAGATGGCTGTCAGCAATTAGACAAGGAAACCAGGTTTGTAACAATCATGATTGCTTAAGGACCTAATAACAATGCACCATTATATTACCCTAGGATACTTGGTCTCCCACCTGACTTTAAGGAAGGTGTATTGTTCTCTACATATGCCACCCTTGTTAGTACACTTCATAAAGGTAAGGTTAGTGTGCATCTGTCCTCATTGTGTCCCAAATGGAGTGCACACTTTACTGTGCGTACAATTGGCAATTGTATAAGCATATTATGCTATATACATGCAGGGACATGCCAGATTTTAATTACTTTCGTGTCCTCAGTGCAGCAAGGGCACTACACAGGCGGCCCAAGGTTCATTAAAATCTGGACATACTCACTGATGTTGCATGGCCTAGCGAAATATTATGTATGTTTTTTCTTCTTTCGTTGCCGGTGCTAGATTTGGTCTTACCTCACCTACCTCAGTTTTTATTCCTGAATGTGTCTTAATACAATGTGAGATTGCGAATATTTACAATTTGTACTACACTATGTTTTTAAGCGCATTGATATTGTGCAAGCTAAGTTTCACTTGGTCAGGAGACCCTCAATGGCAATGGAAGTGAATGTGTACAACAATCATACACACAAGGTGTCACACAAATGGAAGAATGTAGAGAGAGATTGAAATTAGGGGAAGCGGCTGGAAAGTTTCAACACACAAATCATTATATATATATCAGGGTTTTAATACGGTTTTCAGATTAGGAAAACATTGTAGTAAATCGTACTAGGACAAAGGGTAAGCACAGTACACAGACAATCAAAAGCGTTTTTTTTTTCACAATCTCCACGTAATGGGCATGATTGTGGCATGCTAGAGTGGAGAGTGTGGCCTGCAAGTAGCACGGGATTGCTGAACCAGATGAGTGGTTGAGCTTGACAGCTATGTGTGGCATTTTACAATTCCAGGAGGCCAGTCTTGCAGTAGACTCCAGCAGCTTGTATCGTGGTGTGGGGGAGAATCATTTGACGGGTGCCTCGTGTTTGACGAATGTCACAAGGCCAAGAACTTCAACCCTGGAAAAGAGCAGCGCAGCACCAAAGTGGCCCTAGCTGTGTCTATGTGCAGAAAATGCTTCCCAGAGCAAGAGTTGTGTACTGCAGTGCCACTGGTGTTAGCAATGTCAAAAACATGGTGAGAGACTTGTGGTTCTGTTATTAAATGAACTTAATTTTTTGCCTTGCAGGCATACATGGAGGGGCTAGGGTTGTGGGGTGAAGGACTGTCATTTCCTAATTTTGAGAGTTTCCTAGAGAGTGTCACTAGGAGAGGCCTGGGTGCTGCTGAGATGCTAGCAATGGAGATGAAGTCAGCAGGAGTCTATGTGTCTAGGGGTCTAAGCTACAAACAGGCAGAGGTACATATCCCATACAGGTGTATGTCACCACTGCCGTTTGTGTGAATCAGCTTCAGGCTAAAAGTGGTACTGGTGCTACAGGGGTGTTTTGGTATGGAGTAAATCCCTTTGGGTAGGGGAATTATTCACATTGCACCAGAATTGGTTTCTTTTACTGTAGTTTGTTACAAGAGAAGTCACTCTCAGTCCCAGTCAGACTTCAACCTATGACGCTGCTGCACATGTATGGTAAGCTTACGTTACACTGTGTAGTAACTTTCCCTGTGTACACCCTACAAATTGGCACTAAGCTGACTAGCTGCCTATAATTTGGGTGTTTTGAGACAACATATTATTACCCTCCCTCGCGCGCGCATACGCATGCGAGGTATGTTGTAGTCTGGTTGTCTGTCTGTCTGTCTGTTACTCAACATCATCACTTCTCTGCATATCTCGAATGTTTTTTCGTCTCACAACGTACTGACTACCTACTTCACGGCAATGAACGGCAATTTCCACAGTAATTTGTGCGAGTTTCTCAGACGCACGATTGCAAAGCTAGAGTGCTTGCTGCCCAGCATGTGCGGCTAGTCGCCTAGTTTTGGCCATTTTTACTCTGCGGAGAACGTGCATAGCGCATTAACGAGACCAAGTGGTGGAAAGCGACCATTTGTTCATCGTCTCGGTGAACCAGTTGTGTGAGATTGCTCTTTGCCGTTCTACTATCGATCGCACGTCCGAGTACGGTCTGCCCACAGGTGAAACTAATGTACCACTAGGCTGAAGTGTGTAAATCTCTGCAAGTCCTAACTGTTCGCTAAACAGGTTCCTGCAAGGGAAAACAGATTCAGTATTTCACTGCGTGCATATGACACATATTACGTGTGCAATAACTAACACATCAGACACCATCGGAGTCAAAAATGCTTTTTTGCTCTTTCTTCTCCTCCTTTTGACTTATTAAAATTTGAATAAATTCCATCCATCGCGTTCCCAGCATTCAACGCATACGATCATACATGTGTTTGTAACCATTTTCGGCTTCATATTGCAAAGTGTACACGAAGGACCAATATGCAGGCGCATTATAATAACGAACCATTGATGCGCAGCTACCGGGCAGTACAACTTCATCTAGTATTATACCTGAGCAGCAGAGAAAGCGGTGCTTGGGTGCTGAATGTTATCAAGTAGTGGTCACCGCACGCAGTGCATAGTTGGTCGCGGGTCGAGGTCTTTTGCACTGTTAGTGCTTTTCATATTATTATGGATCCTTGTCCTGTGCAGGAATGAGCTCCGAAATCCCTGCAGTAGCTTTATCGTCGTGTGGTGCTCCTCTACGCAGAGGTGTGGGCACCGTTCTGGTACAGCAGCAGGCACAGTCAGGTTTTCAAGCTGTCAATGGTTTGTATATACCTCCTATGTACCATATATAAAAGCAAACGCCACTAAGTGTATGCATAGCAAACAGTTCATAGTTTTCCAAGGAAAAAAAGAGCTGTACAAGTTTGTTTTGGAACCCGTGACACTCTGCAGTGTAGGCAGAGCACTCTTGCCACGGGGCTACCAGGGCAACTCAGCAGGCATGGACACAAATCTACAACACTATACAAGACGTGGCAAAGGCTAAGCTCAACGATGGTGCTACTGGCACATTACACCCTCACTGTTTGTAGGAGAAGACTGGTGCATTTATATAACCAAGTCTGTGCATGTAAGGGTAAACAGTTAAAAGGGTTTGTGAAGCGGAAATACTACGTATTAATTGCGGCTACTAATTTTAGCGTTTTGCACAGATCATTTTTGGCGTATATTAATTTTAGCGATTTTTGTCCCCACATAATTTTTTGTACAATAATTTATGATGACAACCAGTCAAAGTTTGTGCGTGTATCCAATTTAATTTGTGCTCTAGCTGACCCAAAGTAAACCAAAAAGCAAGGCCTTCTTTTTGTTTCCAGTATAAACACGTGAAACTACGTGTATAGCGGGCTCCACTAACCACGCGGAAATTACGCGGTATGCACGCGCATGCGCAATACATTGGCACACACATAATTTAGCGATTTTGATGATTCTCGCTAAAGTCGTTAAAATTAGTAGCCGCAATTAATAGTAACCGTAAGGTAGCAAGACCATGAGGCCTGCTAATTCCAAGGAATAATATTCGGCACAAGCAGGAAGGTCACAGTGTGTTTATATGCAGCTTGATAGTACACAATTTGTTGCATTATGCTAAGTTCAAAATTTCGCAGTCTTTGCTCTCTCTCTATTGTGAGTGCTAAACTGTACCTTCATCGTTCTGGTAATCTGTTTCTTTCAGTATGTGATGACATGAGTGCCTGCTATTGTTGAGGAGATCAAGAAGGCTCTTTCTCAAGATATGTGCGTTGTCATTGGTCTACAGACTACTGGAGAGGTGCAAAATTGTATGTGATCATTATGCATGCATTATTTCAGGTGTTTGCTCATTAACAATCTGTGATAGTGTGGTTTGTGTGTGTTATGTGAATTGCCACTTCGCACATCACTCCATTGCCATATGGCACCTAAAGTGATGTGCAATTGCTTACTTGATGTGTGGTGATGTTTTGACAGTGTACATATAAAGGCCATTTACATGTAACTTGATCATGGTTTGCATTGAGTTGTGTGTATGTCCGTCACGTTACTAACATGTAGAGAGGACAAGGATAGGTCCAAGTGTACATAGTGACTTTTTGTCAACATTGATTTTCATAGTACAACCGATGAAAGTGTCTGTTATCAGTGAGCGGAAGCAAGCCAACCTTGTGAGCAACTGGCAAAAAATGTCTATACCAGAACAAATGGGACACATGTTTAAGTGGCAAATATTTTTGCATGTGTTTTGCGCGTGTGTTTAGAATCACGTAGAACGTTATGGTAGGTGAGGAGCGGTGAAGGTCACAATATAAAAATTATAAACAAAATCCCTAATTCGAATGACTAAATGGGCTCGTTTCACTCGCCAAGTATGTATTGTCAAATATCCTGTATAGGTCAGTGTGGCTAGGGACTTGACAACTTGTAAGTATACAACTCAAACCCTTTTTCCGAGGTCCAAGACTTGGATTTTTTCTTGCACCGATTACCAATCCATAATTATAAGGAGGTTGCACCACATACATCAGAACACCGAGTGACGCCACTGGCAATGCTCGAGTTGAAGTCACCACTTTTCACGCCAGAAGCTTTTTAACCCTCGGCGCGCATGCGCAGCGAGGGTTACAGTACTTGGGTTTGTCCGTCTGTCTGTCTGTCCGTCTGTTACCACGTTTTCAGCTACCACGCGCAACAAACAGGTAAAATAGCGACACCAACGGGTTCAGCGCTACACTGGCTTGATTTAAAAAATGGCGATTTTCGTAAAGTTCCGCGTTCAGAAGTTATGGAGAGTCTGGCACGGGCTAGCTACGGTAGTAAATAGCATGCGGGAGTCGATACATGCCCTTCGTTGTGACTTGTTGTGCCTTCAAGACACACAGAGCGAACGGACGCGGTCGAGGTAAGCCTGTGCTAATTTACATATTGGCTTGTTCACTTGGTTTTCACGCCATAACTTTAAAACACAGTAGTTTTACGAAAATCGCCTTTTTAAAAATCAACCCAGTGTAGCACTGAACCCGATCATATCGCTATTTACCTGATTTCGTGTGCGCGGTGGCAGAAAACGTGGTAACAGACAGACAGACTGACAGACGGACAGACTGACAGACACACTTACGGGACAACTACCGTAACCCTCGCTGCGCATGCGCGCCGAGGGTTAACAAGCCAATATGTAAATTAGCACTAGCTTACCTCGACCTGATCCGCTTGCTCTGTGTACCTCGGAGGCACAAGAAGTCACAACGAAGGGCGTGTATCGACTCCCGCATGCTATCTACTACTGTAGCTAGCCCATGTCAGACTCTCCGCGAGCTACTTCAGGAGATCACGGGTAAACACAGACTAATACGTAGGCCCTGCCCATTAATTAGAGGTATCGCGCATGCGCAGTTCGCCGAGGGTTTGCACTTTAGTGCTTTTCATTTATCCGGTAAGGTGTGCTCACACTGCTAGTTTGCGTATCAGTATCCTGGTTCTTGAAGGAAGCACACCCTCAACTGTATAGACTTAGTTTTCCAGAGTTGAGCACTCAATTTGCATGTCTCAGGGTGATGACAGTGTACTTGGCTTTCGGTCTCTCTGTTTATTAACCCTCGGCGCGCATTCACAGCGAGGGTTATAGTACTTCGTTTGTGATTCCTTCTGTCCTTCTGTCCGTCTCTCTGTCTGTCTGTCTGTAACCACGTTTTCTGCCACCACGCGCAACAGACCGGCCAAATTGTGACACCAACGAGTTCAGCGCTACATTGGCTTCATTTTTAAAATGGTGATTTTCGTAAAAGTGCTGCATTCGAGAGTTATGGCGTGAAAACCAAACAAGCCAATCTGCTAATTAGCACAGGCTTACCTCGACTGGGTCCACTTGCTCTGTGTATATTGAAGGCACAAGAAGTCACCCAGTAAGCATGCAACTGATACTCTGACTGACAACAAAATTGTTAAATGGGCCATGCTATATATGTGTTATTCGCTTGTTTCAAGTACATAAGTTAGACCCTTGAGGACGCAGCGTAAATTCAGAATCCCGAGGGCGGAGCTGTGGTGTCCCTAGCGCCGTGAGGGCACTGCATCGCCCGAGGGTTTCTGAATTTTACGTAGGTCCAGAGCCTTGTCTACCCCGTTTAGTGCAGAGCATGAGCGCGTGAAAGCTATATTTCAATGGCGGATTTTCAAATGACTCCCAAAGCTCGCACAAGCAGTTCGGAAAAGGAACTAAGTGACTTGCTGCACCCGGACCCTGTAGAAATTTACAGAGACACCAGCGAAGGGTTCCAGATATCATTCTAGACGACCTATTAATAGTGCTGCCTACGACGACTACTGTAACGAACCAGAACTTGCAGACTCGGTCTTTTTTCTATCAACTGACCACTCACCCGCAAAGGTGTCCCCTGGATTAGAATGCTCAAGAGGACACATCATAAAGCATTCATTTTTATCCTGATGCTAAATGAGGCAATTCTAATCTCTGTGTTTGTTATGGTTGACCCAAGACAACATGGCAACTATCGTAGACCTTAATCTTTGAAACTTGGTAAAATGGGGAGAGAATGCCTGGACAATTATTTAATGTGCTCTGCAACATGATGATTAGGTATTGATTTAAAAACATTTATGCGTATGTGTACACTATGAGTAAAAAACATGTCGGATATTCTATTTTTATCATGTATCCAACAGTCCAGCCTTGAGAGTGAGATGGAAGCCAACAAGGGAGAACCGGATGGTTTTGTTTCAATCTGCAGAGAGATACTGCAGCGCTTTGTGAGGGATCACTTCCCTACTACCACTACGCTTACCGACACCCCACAGGTGACTCTTAACGGTACATTATATTATGTTAGTCTTGGATTCTTATCTGAATTCTGTTATAATGCCACATTTTGTCTTAGTTGAATGTAGTGGCAATGAGAATTGGCTTTAGAATAATAGTCCATGAAATGGATATTTGTGTAAAAGGACTATTGTGGAAGATGCTCTGGTTTAGAATCAATTCGGCACCATAAAATAATTTGTGAATTATTGGTTTGTGTGTGTGTTGGGTATAGCATTTTGTGGATCTGTTGGTTAATTACCTGCAGCTGATATTGGCTTTTTGATATTCTACTTTTATGTGTTATTACCCCACCCACCTATGTGCAGCAGGTATATTGCGGTGTTGGTGTCTGTAATTATAATGTACTAATACTGGTGGAAATGTTGAACATTGTTGGCGAGCGGGAGCGACCCAACTTGGGATTTGCCCGCGATGTTCGGGCTGCATAACGTGCCGTCAGCGCACAGCTTTCCTTTCGCGAAAACAAGACAGATCTACCTGTCACCGTTACATGCGTATTGTACATTGGCAGAACGGTGAGCAGGTGAGCAGAACGGTACTTGCCTTACACTTTCAGCTCGTCAGTCGTGGTCCACCAGGCAGCTGGCATGCAGCAGTATGTGCACAAGCAATCCTGGTGTATTTGCAAGTTGCACCTTGGAACCATGAAAATTGGGAAGAGGTACAGCCTCGGTCAGTCACCGAAGGTTGCAGCGCATGCCGTCGAATGGAGGAGAGTCGGCTAGATCGGTCGGCGCATATCGCGAGGCACCGTGTGTGGAAGTGTGTAAAAATTTGGAAATAGTTTCGGATAAAAAGAAGCGCGTACAAAGCCGTGCATGTGCACTTACACGACGTACGAACGATATATATATATATATACCGAAAATTCCGCTCGAATGAACGACTAGGTTGGCTCGCTCCCGCTCGCCAATAGCATTATATCTGGTCGAAACATTTCTGGATGCGACTTTACTAAAGAATCAGACTTATCATTTTTAACTTGGATAGGGGAACATTTCTTCGATTTCTACAATCTCAGAAATGTTGCGTTTGCCTGTAATTGATGGTACCTCGTTTATGGCACACTGCTCGAGGCAAAAATACAGTTGGTAGTAAGTCAGCCTGGGACACTGGTGTTTTTCACGTGCAAATGGTGGTTGCGCTTAAATCACATGGTTTCAATCAACCGCACGTGTGCGACGTTAGCAACGCCCGTCTGTAGTTTCCATAGAGTTTGTTTTACATATATTTTGGAATTCAGTTATGGAACTTGCAGAGAAGCAGCACAAAATATTTCCGATAATGTGCATAGTGTAATTAACCCTTGGCGCGCATGCGCAGCGAGGGTTACACTACTTGGTCCGTCTGTCTGTCTGTTACCACGTTTTCTGCCACCACGTCCAACAAACAGGTAATAAAGCGACACCAACGGGTTCAGCGCTGCATTGGCTTTCATTCAAAAATGGTGGTTTTCGTAAAAGTGCCGTGTTCAGAAATTATGGCGTGAAAACCGAGTGCCAATATGCAAATTAGCACAGGCTTACCTCGACCGGGTCCGCTTGCTCTGTGTACCTTGGAGGCACAAGAAGTCACACGAATGGCGTGTATCGACTCCCGCATGTTATCTACTACTGTAGATAGCATGTGTTAGACTCTCCGCGGGCTACTCTAGCGGGAGACCACGAGTAAACGTATACTAATAGCCCAGCCCATCTATTAGCGGTGTCACGCATGCGCAGTCGGCCGAGGGTTTGCACTTCAGTCCTTTTCATTGTGTACTGCGCCTGGATATGGCAATGCCCAAAACGACCGTGCGGTTTATGCATGCATTATTGTCACACCTGTCAAAAGCAACACAATGTTTTTCAAACGTTAGTTCAACAACTATTTTTTCCTGTGGATTCCCCCAGAGGTGCATAGTCTCATTAATGGCAAGTGTCAGTGACAATGTGCTGAAACTTCATCTCAAAAAGTTGAGTATTGCGCAAAGGTTTGCAAGCCAATGAAACGGCATATTTGTGTCATGAAAATACGGAACTACTGAAAACATTCAACATTGATACTACGTACATCAGACCAAAAACATCCAAAGGCGTATTGCCACAAGTGTCACAAATTGCCAACAAATCTTGAGTGGACAGAGGGGGTCTGTGGTTTAGACAGCAGTCGTGCCAGTAGACTGGGAGTGTCATGAAGCTGACTGCTGGGGAAAGTGGAGAAACCGAAAAAGGCTACAAAGAAGTGAGGGAGACCAAGGACAAAAGTGCAAGGGAATAGCCAACTCTGTTCCAAAAACTACTCCCACAAGTTGGTGAGCATTGCAGCTCTCTCTCCTCGATTTCTCCCACCGGCTCTTCTCTCTCTCTCCTTGCACGACCTTCACTGCAAACTGTGCGAATGCATTGTAGATCGACCTGTCAAGACACCGTGCAGCAATCTTGCATGCGCCGAGGACATAGTAGCCTAGTCTTCAATGCGAGTCAGTCTTCAGTGCCCATGCTGCGGGGAATGTCGTGAACTCTCCCCCACAAATCTTACAGTATAGCTATGATTCCTTGGTATTTACTATTATGTACATGTGTGTTTTAGGACGCATCCCTGTTTATGGTGTAACTCGGAACAAATGAAGCTTCCCGAGAGGAGCATCCATCAGATCTCACCGTGTACCTTGGATACACTACAGGAAGACCTCCTCTTTCATAACAGCTGGAAATGGAGATCTCAAACAGGCAAAGAAATTCAACACTGTATGACCAATACTCAAGACACAGGTTACACTGCAACCTAACTAATGCACAA